CTCCCACCGAGCCTGCGCGCCGCGGTGTGGGACGCGGGGACGGGCCCCGGGAGAGGGCTCGGCAGCCTCCCCTCCGCGCCCGCAGCCCCGCGCTGCCTTGTCTCCCCCCGCCCCCAGATTCCGCCCCTCGCGATTGCCTGCCCCGTACAGCCAGTTCTGTGCGATCGGCCGCAGCGACAGACGCTTCCCTCCCCATTCTGTTTCTCACGTGAAGGGTTTCCTCCTCCTGATTCCACGGAAAGGTTTTTACCTGTAAAAGTTCCGCGAGTTCCGTCTGGGGTCAGGAACAGAGTTCTTCTGACCACCTGGGTTTGATTTTGTTTTGCAGGATCCTGTTCAGGATGGGGTGGCTTCACCAGCCACCCCTGGGACCGGGAAATCCAAGGTGAAGCGAATACTTGACTGGCAGGCTCCCTGAAGAGTGGAAGGGTGATGAATTGGAAAACTTGGCCTGGAGAGAGGGGTGGCCTATTTAAAATAAATAGGAGCTTTTCTCCAAGGGATCTCAATTTTAATTTACACAGTCACCCGTCTATTTCTTTCTTCTTTTTTGCTTTTAAGATTCCTAGTATGAAAAGAGTTGACTCTCTGTTTACTTCCTGCCCCTTGGTAGCCCTGCTGAGAGATTGTGCAATGTTTCAGACATTAAACAAAGCAGTCTAATTTCTGAGGATGTAAAGGGTGTAGTGGAAAGTGCGGTGACGTAGGGAGGAGTCAAGGAACTCTATCCTGTAGGCCCCTCCTATGGAAAAGAAAGTGGAATTGGGTAATTTTTATGGCCCTGTACAACGTTTCACATTCACTGAATCTAAAAGATAGTGGTTTATTGCTAAGATTTATTGCTTGCATACTAAGTTTCAGGCACTTATGTAAACAGTTGCTTCATATAAACTTCATGGTAACCGTGTGATAAGTACTATTGTTATCCCCATTTTACAGAAGAGAAAACTGAGCCCACAGGGGTTAATTTTCCCTGATTTTTTAGTTAAAGCTTAAATTCAACCTGATTCATCTTGTAATTATGCTTACATGTTTTCATGTGGCCACAGACGTTTTTCAGCTTTGAATAGAGTGAACTAATTTTACAGCTCTAAGGAACTTTAAGTAGAATTAGCCCCAGTCCCCTAATTTTACAATTAAAGAAGTCAAAACCTAGGAATTGTCTTAACTTATAACAACAATATATCTGTATATAAGTGGATATGTGCTATTTTCGACATTTCACAGTAGTTGCTTAACTAATAATTACTGAGATGAAGTTCATTTGCTAATTTTAAAAAATGTGTTTGGCAAAGATTTATTCAGTGAGATGTTTTTATTTTTAGGCAGACGTGTTTCTTTTTTATGGTATAGTAGAAACATGATTTATAACAAGTTGGTAACATCACTACATCTTTCAGCTGGAAACATTGCCCAAGGAAGATCTTATCAAGTTTGCCAAGAAGCAGATGATGCTAATACAGAAATCTAAATCAAAATGTACAGGTATTGGGTTGAAAATATTCATTTGACCATAATCTCATTTAATCTCGTGGTTAAAAATACTAGTTTTTTAATTGTACATTGGCTTGTTTTGTTTACCAGTGAATCCAACAAAATCTTAGACAATGTAGTAGAATCTGTTTTTATTTAACATTCTAATCATTTGCCTCTGATATTTTTTATTATCTCACATCTCTAAACTGCAGTTACCTTTGAATTATTAAAAGAAAGTCAGGGAGGAGGATTTTTAAAAATAGTTTTTTAAAGTTAACACATTCTTTTTTTACTCATGTAGCTTGTACGTTCTTCCGAGTAAAGCGTTTTTTTCTAGAGTAGTTGGTTGAAACGTTAGAGACAACAAGTTGTGAGTTCAAAGTAAAAAGGGGCCTCAAGTAAGATAGTAAAAGATTTCCATTCCTAGAATTTTGAAGTATATTTATTTAGTGAAGTTGACTGATTCCCTGTTCAGTTTCCTTTTCTTTATATTCCAAAAGGATAACGATAGTAGTATCCTTTTTTACTATGTGGGTAAGCTCTTGAATTTCCAATGACTTAACAGATGTTAACTGCCCAGCCTAAGAGCCAAGACTTAAATTCTTCTAGAAAAGGTCATATTGTGTTTTGGGAGGATAGATCAACTTGTGATAAAGAGAGTAATTTATTTGGAAAAGTTAGAACACCTTTCAGACTTCAGACCTAGCCACGAGTTGATGAAATAGGTTAACATTTATGTTTAATATGAGGTTAATTGTTGCTTTAAAATTATACAGTAAGAAGTTATTTACAGCTGAAATAATGTCTGAGATTTGCTTCAAAAATATCAAGATGGGTAAGAAAAGAGGAGAAGGAGGAAATGAATACAGATCGGGATGAAAATCAAGGTGATGGGTGCATAGAAATTAATTTACTGTTTTCTCTATTTTTTTATTTGTTTGGAGTTTTCCATAATAAAAAGGAAAATAAAAGGTAATACTGAGTGAAGTTAATGCTTTCCCCAAATATCTGCTTCTTAAATGTATTCTACTTTATAGTAGTTTTTTATGTTTTGTTTTTTTAAGAATGTACTTGTCACTTTAGCCAGTAATTATTTTCTTTGTTTCTGAACTGGAATATTTTTTTTTTTAATAATTGTTTAGAACTGGAGAAAGAAATTGAAGAATTGAAATCAAAAACTGTTGCTAGAGGAACTGATGATATTATTAAGGTAATGAAACAGTTGTGAATATTGCTTTAGTTTTTCTTTATTTACTTAGAGGAAATGTCTGATGATAAATCAAATTTCCTTGAGGGCTTTCAGCCTGCTAGAGAGCTATCTGGCTTTCTGTCCTGTTGTACCACTTCCTCTCTGCCCTTGGTTCAGTTTTTTACCTCACTGGTTGACTGTAAAAAGAGAGGATTAAATGACCTCTAGATCCCTTTCTGTTCTGCAGTGAGTATTATTCTCTCCTCTTTTCATTTCACACACTCTGTAATTATGGTTGTTCCCTCAGTCTCAGTCCTGCTCTTTCCTCTCCTTTCAGAAAACTCAGCCATACTCAGGACTTTGATGATGATTTGGGGACTGATCATCTATTGATATATATAATCTATAGATAGGTATATATCCCTGGACGTGACTATTGACCCAGCTCTCACAGTTGAGTTTCTAGCTGTTTGGGAGAAAAAGTTCTTCACCCATTTCTCTTGTCCTCTTTTCGTGCTCACCATGACCAAATCCCTGTCCCTGAACAACTCGTGGCCGTGCTATTTCCCGGGCCTTTTACCTTGAGAGACTCTTCAGCTTTCCTGTGTCTTTTTCCTCGACGTGTATGGGTCACCAGAGACCTGTTGTTCCTTCAGGAAATGCTGCATTATCCTTGTTCTCTGCATTTCTATGCCTCTATGTTAAATGCCTCCTGTCATACTTGATTTGTTTTGATAACCCCATAACTGGGCTCTCTTTCTCTTTTTAGTGCTACATACTGCTGCCACATCACAGAATACTGTTTTTGTCTTGTTATTCCCTGTTGAAGAACCTCGGTTGCTTATTCTTACTTACATGCCCTTAATGCTAACTAAATGCTTTTTCCTTCCCCACTTGGCGTAAGCTTCTTTCGAGTTTCTTTACTTCTCAAAGCACTGCAGTCATTTTTTTCCTTGCTTTTCATATTTATAATTTGAGTCTCGCTATTCTTCGATTACATATTATCTCACTTTTTCGTTAAGTGGCTCCCAGCTTGTGAGCAGTGGACAGTTGAAGAACTCCTTACAAGGAGTCTTTAAATCCCTATGCGTATGATGCACTATCATTTTGTTCTTTATTTAGCTAAAACGATATATGCATGAATGGTATGCACAAATAGCATTTGGATTCATAACGTACTAATTCATTTAAGCATTACTGAATTCATAGTACTTTTCTTTGTTTATTTGGTCATTATGTGTTGTCTCAATCAGTGATAGCCAAAGTGCAACTACAGTTAACTAAGAGGACTGACTCAGGAGCCAGACTTCCTGATTCAGATCTTCAGATCCCTGAAAGTACAGTTACTTTCTTTTTCTCTAATCTTCAAGGTTTTTTTATAGCTGTTTTCAGTTAATGGCTACTATATATCTCCTAAAATTAATGAATGTATTTAGGCTTCCCCTGATATTTACCAATCAGAAGTTTATATTATAATACTATATGTAATATGAAAAAACCAATTTTAAAACTAAAATTGTTTTAATCAAAGTAACATATGCACATGATTTAGAAATAATACTGATAACTAAATAAGTTCTGGAAATTACTCTGAATAATATGATTATACTGCTATTCCTTGATTTATCCATTTTGGACATTTAGCTATCAACTTCCCATTACAGCAGATGAAAATTTAGCTATCTTTCACAACAACTCCTACTTTCCAGATAGTCAAACAGATCAAATAATCTTTTACATTTTCTCCTGGACACCTGCCTTCTAAAGCTTTCTGTCCTCCTGCACTGATTTGGTCTGATTGTTCTGTAGGTCTGCTGCACAGTTTTCCTGGAACTGGCCTTTTGCCGTGATCTTGTGAATTTCTTTGTGGTTTTTTTGGCTTAAACAGAAATTTATTTTCTCACAGTTTGGAGTCTGAGAAGTTGAAGGTCAGGATGCCAACAAATTTGGTTTGTGGTGAGGACTCTCTTCTTGGCTTACAGATAGCCACCTTCTTGCTATGTCCTCACATGGCAGAGAGAGGAAGGGGATCTTGTGAATTTCTGCTTTCCTGTGTTGCCCCCACTGTTTGCTAGGTCATATGTCATTCACTTGCTTGGTTAACCTCATTTTGGTAGAGCATGTCCTTCTGTAGCTTCCTAAGAACAGATGCATGGGAGGAAAATTTTTGTTGTCTTGTGTTTAAAAATGGTTTTATTCTACTCTTATGTTTGAATAATAGCTGTAACTTCATATAGAACTCTAAATTTATCTACATTTGTTTTGTTTTTGTTTTCTTAAACAACTAAGTTTTTCTTTATGATTTCACTTAAGAATTTCAGAGGTAGGCAGTTCTAGGGTGATACTGGACTGTTTATTTAGGATTTTAACATTTATCTAGATTTTAATGTTTAGGATTAAGGTTAGATCACTAGATTCACAGTGAAATGGGTCTATGATTTTCCTGTCTATAAAGTCCTTGGATAATGTTTATCAAGTTATGCCAATTTTGTAGAATAACTTGAGAATTCTTCTTGCTTTTTATTTTGTCTGAACAAGTTCATATGTAATTGGGGTAATCTGTTCTTTGAAATTTGATAGAACTGCCCTGTAAACTGTCTATTCCACCTGTTTTCTTTGGTGGACAATTTTAAACTACTAGTTTGATTTTTAAGAAGTTATGGTATTAATTATGCCTCTTAATTTTTTTCGTGAGTTAGTAAAGCTATATTTTAGGAATTTTTATCCATTTCATTTCAGTTTTCAATATTATTGCCAATGTATTTTTAACAATTTAATCTCTGATTTATATGTAGATATGTTCCCTTTTTATTCATAATATTGTTTGTGACTTCTGTCTTCTCTTGGTCAGTCTTGCTAGAGGTTGTCTATTTTGTTCACTTTTTTTTCCTGCCAAAGAACTAACTCTTGGCTTGTTGATCTGTTTTCCATTTCGTTAACTTCCTCTTCTGTTTAATTTCTGCAGAGAATAAACCTATTTCTGAGGAAGGAGGGACATTGGTGATTTCTTGCCTGTTATTCTAACCACTCTCTATTCAGATTGTCAACCATCTCAGTTTTTGAACCCCACACATTATTCCTCCCTTGACAATGTATAGTACCTCCAGTCCCTAAGCATTCAGTTTCCTGAGTATTTGCCAGTTTTCCTAAGTGTTTTCCTGTGAAGGCGTGGGTTATAGCCCTCTTCCTCTTCCTAATTCAGTTCCTCCTCCTCCACTTTCCATTGTCCAGAAAGGTACTGAAATTTCTCATTTCCTCATGTGTTTTCTTTTTTTCTCAGTGTTCTCATGTGGATACCTTTTTAAATATTTTGTTCTTACCTTAGTGTTGTTTGGAAAAGGTGAGGAGATAATTATGCATGTGGTCAATCCACCATTTTTAACCTCAGGTAAACACATCATCCTGTTCCAAAACAGGCATTGACTGAGCGTCTGGATGCTATTCTTCTGGAAAAAGCAGAGACTGAGCAACAATGTCTTTCTCTGAAGAAGGAAAATATTAAAATGAAGCAGGAGGTTGAGGTAAGGCAACATTTTAATGTGTTTTTGGTTTTTGTCAACTTACGTAGCGTAGTAATGAATTGTAGAACTGAGACCTTAAAAAGCATCTGATCTGATTTTATCAGTTTACTAACAGGGAAACAAATATTTAATGAGAAAAATAACTGAACTCACCCAACTACACAGAGATATAGCTAACATTTACTTGTTGCATTGCTTAACCTTCCTTATAGCTGTAATGTCATTCTTTAATAAAAATGAAAACAAGAACTCACTTTATGAAAAAATATTTATTTAACTAAGTTGATTTTCATTTACACTCTAAATGCCATTATCTGTTCAGTTCTAGGGTATTCAATTTCCTGTTGGGTTTGAATTAATTTTCTACAAAAAGTCTCTTATTAATCTATTCAGGAGATATTCATTAAAGCCTTGTGACTTAATACAACTTACATAATTTATCACCTTTTAAAAGAAAGTTAAATTCAGAGATTTCCTAGCTTTAAGTTATTACTTTGAATAAGATGTCTAGTACTGCTGATATATATTGTCGTTCTGAAAGTAGTCAGATCCTAAGCAGTGTTCTTTGAATCTCACTATCATTTTTCTCTATGTATATTTCTGCTCATTTCCTTTTCTCTCTAGTGAGCCTGTGGCTAACATTTTTTCTAAGGATGGGGATTTCTTTTTGTCTTAAATAATTTTTGTATGCTTATTTTTATAATAGGATTCTATAACTAAGATGGAAGATGTGCACAGGGAGTTTGAACAATCACAAAGAAACTATGAGAAAGAAATGGAAAATTTGAAAAATGAGTTAATGGCAGTACATTCCAACCACAGTGATGATAAAGCTAACTTGCACAAGAAACTGGAAGAAGCAACAAAAAAACAATTAGAGCTTTCAGAACAACTTAAATTTCAGAGTGACTCTGAAGATAATGTTAAAAAACTGCAAGAAGAGATTCAGAAAATTAGGCCAGCCTTTGAGGAGCAAATTTTATATCTGCAAAAGCAGTTAAAAGCTGCCACAAATGAAAAGGAGCAAGAAATTACTCATCTCCAAAAAGTCATTGAGGCTAATTCTCAGCATTACCAAAAAGATATTAATAGTTTACAAGAGGAACTTTTGCAGTTGAAAGCTACACACCAAGAAGAGGTAAAAGAATTGATGTGCCAAATTGAAGCATCTGCTAAAGAACGTGGAGCAGAAGTAAATAATTTAAACCAGCTACAGGAGAACTTAGTCAAACAATGTGAGACAAGTGAGAAGTACATTCAGGAGAAAAATGAATGTGACTTAGAAAACTTAGGGAAAGCCTCAAATGCAAACCAAGAAAATCAGATGTGTTCTTTACTCCTACAAGAAGATACTTTTGTAGACCAAATAGTAAATGAAAAAGTCAAACATTTAGAAGATACCTTAAAAGAACTGAAGTCTCAACATAGTATCTTAAAAGATGAGGTAACTTATATGAATAATCTTAAATTAAAACTTGAAATCGATGCCCAACACATAAAGGATGAATTTTTTCATGAACGTGAAGACTTAGAGTTTAAAATTAATGAGTTATTACTAGCTAAAGAAGAGCAGTGCTGTGTAATTGAAAAATTAAAGTCTGAGCTAGAAGAGTCAAATAAACAGTTTTGCTACACGGTAGAACAACATAACAAAGAAGTACAGAGTCTTAAGGAACAGCATCGGAAAGAAATATCAGAACTAAATGCATTTTTGTCAGGTGCAGAAAAAGAAAAATTAACATTAATGTTTGAAATACAAGGTCTTAAGGAACAGTGTGAAAACCTACAGCAAGAAAAGCAAGAAGCAATTTTAGATTATGAGAGCTTACGAGAGAGTATGGAAATTTTACAAACAGAACTAGGGGAATCTGCTGGAAAAATAAGTCAAGAGTTTGAATCAATGAAGCAACAGCAAGCATCTGATGTTAATGAACTTCAGCAGAAGCTCAGAACTGCTTTTAATGAAAAAGATGCTCTTCTTGAAACCGTGAATCATCTTCAGAGAGAAAATGAAAAGTTATTATCGCAACAAGAATTTGTACCAGAACTTGAAAATACCATAAAGAACCTTCAAGAAAAGAATGAAATGTATTTCATTAGTCTCAGTGAGAAAGATACCATGTTGCGAGAATTTGAAGCAGAGATAAGCTCTCTTACGGAGGAAAAAGATGATTTCGTGAGTAAAATAAAAAGTTGTCATGAAGAGATGGATAATCTCCATAAAAAATGTGAAAGGGGAGAAAGATTGATTTTAGAACTTAGGGAGAAAGTAGAGCAAACTACCCAGTACAACAGTGAACTAGAACGAAAAGCAAATGAATTAACGAGAGGACTAGAAGAAACTTTGAAAGAAAAGGATCAAAATAACCAAAAACTAGAAAAGCTAATGGTTCAGTTGAAAACTCTCTCTGAAGATCAGGAAGCATTGTCATCTGAAGTGAAGTCTCTTTATGAGGAAAATAACAGACTAAGTTCAGAAAAGAATCAATTGATCAGGGATTTGGAAGCTTTCCTGTCTCAAAAAGAAGGAGATTCTGTGCTTAAGGAACAGATTTCTGAATTAGAGAAGAAACTTCAGTTAATAGTTGAAGAACGAGATAATTTAATTAAACTGTTCGAAAATGAGCAAGTTCAGAAGTTACATGTCAAAACTCAGTTGTATGGTTTTCTTAAACAAATGGAGTCAAAAGTTTCAGAAGAAAAGGAAGAGCAAGATGTAAATGTCTTACAAGCTATAGGTGAATCCTTAGCTAAGATAAGTGAGGAAAAACACAACTTGGTGTTTCAGTATGATACAAAGATAGTCGAGTTAGAAAGAGAGATTAAGTTCCTTCAAGAAGAGAAGGTAATTCGATGTGAGGAACTTAGGTCTTTAGTTAGAGACCATGAGCAAGAGAAAGTTCTCCTAAGGAAGGAGTTAGAAGAAACCTTGTCAGAAAAAGAGACACTGCAGTCTGATCTACTAGAAGTGAAGAATGCTAATGAAAAAATATGGCTTGAAAATCAGAATCTTTTAATTCAAGTTGAAGAATTATCTCAGAAATTATGTAGCAGAAATAAAGTCCATAATGAAAAAGAAAAGTCTTTTATAAGGGAACTTGAAAAACTAAGGCCGTTACTGGAACAAAAAGAGTCTGAATTGCAGGATGTGAGAGCAGAGTTGGTATTATTGAAGGTACTGTTAATTTGAGTTTTATTGATTTAAATCCTAGTTGTACTCGTAGACGCTAGAAAATATATACATTAACATTTTTACACTTTGAAGTCAAGTAAATTTTCAGCATTTAAGCTCAAATGGCAAATTTCTGAAAAGTGCGTCGAACATTTTCATGTGTATCCCATTTATCACATTCATCACTTTTTGGTTTTAGATATTTTAGAATCTTGATCTTACATAAGATTAAATGATTAGAGGGTTAAATGTCTTAGTCAAAACTGTATAACTAGTCATAAGCATAACTACAACTAAATATGAAAAAACTTGAATTTCATTCTTGTGCGATATACATACTACCTTTCTTAAAGAGCACTGTTGAGCAAAAACGTAGGCTATAGTGGTATTTAACTTTAGCCAAAATTTTAGATTTTTTTCCCAGAAATTGTGAAATATAGTAAACTATAATCGTCATTTAATCTTTTCCTTTTTACATTATGTACTTGATATGTGTCAGGTTGTTCATCTTGGTCTTGGATACCACTGTGTTTTTATAGTAAATGCTATACGTGTGATAAGGTCAATATTACCTGATCTATCAAAGGAAGAAAAACACTGTTCACCAAATTGCTTTTTGTGTTGAATTCTCTTGGATAGTGATTTTCTCATGCTTAACATGGCCAGTTCATTTGTTTGATTGTTTTTCTTTTTGTGTAAATCTAGGATTCCTTAGAGAAATCACCTTCTGTAGAAAATGATCAACCTTCAGTAAAAGAGCTGAAAGAAAAAATAGGTAACTATAGTCACAATTAATTACGCAAATTCTTCTTAGTGTTAGAATAGATTGGGAAATATCACAGCCAATTAATGAGTTAAAAACATAATAAGTAGCTGTCTCTTCCTAATGCCCCCATTCTTACCCTCTGCCATCTGAGTGCCTTCCCTTTCAGAACTCTCAGTTTCTGTTGCTTAAATAAAGGACTGAGGTGATTCCATTTATAAATGGTTCCATGATTGTTTTTAGATTTTTTCGTTGATTTAGCAAACTTTATTATTTTTTTCCAGTTTTATTGAGAAATAATTGACATACATCACTGTGTAAGTTTAAGGTGTACAGCCTGATGGTTTAATTTACATATATTGCAAAATGGTAAGTTAACATCCATTATCTCATATAGTACAATAAAAAGAAAAAAAATTTTTTCTCCTTGTGATGAGAACTCTTAGGATTTACCCTCTTATATATATCATATAGCAGTGCTTACCTTTATATATATCATATACCAGTGTTTACTATAGTCACCATGTTGTATATTACATCCCTAGTACTTATTTACTTATAAGTGAAAGTTTGTACATTTTGACCACCTTCCTCCAATTCCCCCTCTTCCCATCCCCTGCCTCTAGTAACCACAAAACTGATCTCTCTTTCTGAGGTTGGTGGGGCATTTTTTATTAGATTCCACATACAAGTGGGATCATACAGTATTTTTCTCTGACTTATTTCACTTAGTATAATGCGTTTAAGGTCCATCCATGTTATCACAAATGGTAGCATTTCCTCATTTTTTATGGCTGAATAATATTCCATTGTATAATAATACCACAATTTTTTTTTCCATTCGTCCATCATTGGACACTTAGGTTGTTTCCATGTCTTGGCTATTGTATATAATGCTGCTATGAACATGGAGTGCAGATATCTTTTCGAGTTAGTGTTTTTATTTCTTTTGGATATATTCCCAGAAGTGGAATTGCTGGATCATGTGGTAGTTCTATTTTTAATTTTTTGAGAAACCTCTATAGTGTTTTCCATAGTGGCTGCACCAATTTACATTCCCATCAACAGTGCACAAGGGTTCTGTTTTCTCCGCATCCTCACCAGCATTTGTTATCACTTGTCCTTTTGATGATGGCCATTCTAACAGGTGTGATGTGATATCTCATTGTGGTTTTAATTTGCATTTCCCTGATGATTAGTGATGTTGAGCATCTTTTCATGTAACTGTTGGCCACTTGTATGTCTTCTTTGGAAAAATGTCTGTTCAGGTCCTTTGCCCATTTTTAAGTTGTATTATTTGTTTTTCTGCTGTTGAGTTGTATGAGTTATTTATATATTTTGAATATTAACCCTTTATCAGATATTTGGTTTGCAGATATTTTTCCCATTCCTTTGCTTGTCTTTTTACTTTGTTGATAGTTTCTTTTGCCATGCAGAAGCTTATTAGTTTGGTGTAGTCCCACTTGTTTATTTTTTATTTTATTTCTTGTACTTTAGGTGTCATTTCCAAAAAATCATTACCAAGACCCATGTCAAGGAGGTTTTCTCGTATGTTTTCCTCTAGGAGTTTCATGGTTTCAGGGTCTTACGTTTAAGTCTTTAATCCATTTCCAGTTAATTTTTTGAATCATGTAAGATAGGGGTCAGCGATAGGGATCAAGTTTTGTTCTTTTACATATGAATATCTAGTTTTCCCAGCACTATTTATCAAAGAGACTGTGTTTTTGCCTTGAGTATTCTTGGCTCTCTCATCACATATTTGTTGACTGGAAATGTTTGGGTTATTTCTGGGCTCTCAATTCTGTTCCGTTGTTCTATTTGCCTTTTTTATGCCAGTACCATACTGTTTTGATGACCATAGCTTTATAGTATAGCTTGAAATGTGATGCTTTCTGCTTTGTTCTTCTTTCTCAGGATTTCTTTAGCTATTTGTGGTCTTTTGTGGTTCCATATAAATTTTAAGAGTGTTTTTTTCTCTTTCTGTAAAAAATGCCATTGGAATCTTGATAGGGATTGCATTGAATCTGTAGATGGCTTTTGGTAGTATTGACATTTTAGCAATATTAATTTTCCATTCCATAAACATGGGATACTTTTCCATTCCATTTATTTGTGTCTTCTTTAATTTCTTTCCATCAATGTCTTTAGTTTTCAGAGTAGAGACCTTTTTCTTCCTTGGTTAAATTTATCCCTAAGGATTTTATTGTTTTTGATGCTATGTAAATGGAATCAATTTCTTTATTTCTTTTCAGAAAATGCATTGTTTAGTATATAGACATGCTACTGATTTTTGTATGTTAATTTTGTATCCTGCAACTTTACTGAATTCATTGATTAGTTGTAACAGTTTTTTGGTTGAGTGTTTAGGATTTTCTATATATAAAATCATGTCATTTGCAAATAGAGACAGTTTTATTTTTTCCTTTTCAATTCTGATGTCCTTTATTTCTTTTTCTTGCCTTATTGCTCTGGCTGGGACTTCCAGACCTACGTTGAATAGAGTGGTGACACTGGGCACCCTTATCTTATTCCTGATCCTAAAAGAAAGCTTTAAGCCTATTGATGATGATGTTAGCTGTGGGCTTATCATATATGGCCTTTATTATGTTGAGATATGTTCCTTCTGTGCCTAATTTGATAAGTGTTTTTGTCATGAACAGAAATTGAATTTTTTCAGATGCTTTTTCTGGATCTATTGAGATAGTCATATGATTTTTTTCTTTCATTCTATTAATGTGAATGATTGATTTGCGTTTGTTGAACCATCCTTGCATCCCAGAGATAAATCCTACTTGATTGTGGTGAATGATCTTTTAATGTGCTGTTGAATTTTGTTTGCTAGTATTTTGTTGAGAATTTTTGCCTGTATGTTCATCAAAGATATTTGGCCAGAGACAGTTGTCCATTATTTAAAAATCAGAAAGATAGAAGCAGCAGAGGAGATTAAGAAGGAACAGCCAGTGAGGTAGGAAAACTCAGAGCATAAAATGTCTTGGAAGCTAAGACAAATGAAGTGCAAGTGAAGGAGTTGTTTCAAGAGGGAAAAAATGTTTAACTATTGCAAATGCTGTGATAGGTCAAGTGACATTAGTTCTGACAACTAACTGAACTAACCATTGGCTTAAGTAACACAGAGGTCATTGGTAACTTGATAACAGTGTCCATGATATGCCAAAGGCAGAGCCTGATTGAAGTGGCTTCAAGAAAAAAATGGGGGAAGAGAAATTTGAAAGCATGTATAGAAACTCTTACAAGGGATTTTGCTATAAAAGGAAGAAGACACGGGACAGTGTAGAAAGGGGAAGTGTCATTTGCTTTTGTGTGTGTGTGTGATGTTTCACCTCTGCTATAGTGACCTCTCCTCTATCCTCTTTGGCTGCTTCCACTGTTTGTTCCTGACTTTAATTTCTTGATGATATTTTTCTTCTTACATGTGTATAAACTGTTGGGAAAATCCATTAGAGAAGGGGAGTTGCTGCAGAAAAGAGGGGGAGAATTACTGCACTGATGCCTGTGCAGCTGAGATGGTATTGGATGAAATGCAGAAATGCAGGAGTTGGCCTGTGCTACACACACACGGTCAGTTCACTTGTAGCAGCCAGAGGAAAGCAGTTTATATGGGGAGAGGTACAACTAGTTTAATAAGCAGGGACAGAAATTCAGATTGTAACTGAAGTTAAGCAAAAATATCATCAAGAAGTAAGATCCAGGGGCGGCCCTGTGGCAGAAGCAGTTAAGTGTGCATGCTCCGCTTCAGCGGCCCAGGATTCGCTGGTTCGGATCCTGGGCCCGCACCAATGCGCCACTTGTCAAGCCATGCTGTGGTGGTGTCCCATATAAAGTAGAGAAAGATGGGCATGGATGTTAGCCCAGGGCCAATCTTACTCAGCAAAAAGAGGAGGATTGGCAACGGATGTTAGCTCAGGGCCGATCTTCCTCATAAGAAAAAAAAAAAGGAAGTAAGATCTGGAACACTGGAGTTTAAATAGGGGAGATGGTTAAAGAGGTTAAGGGAGAGATCAAGATTGGATAGGTAAAACACATTACAGGTTTAGTCATGAAAATCAGACCCACCAACAGAGAGGAGTGTGCCTATGGAGCATAAATATTTAACTCCTCTACTTGACCCTGATTTGCAGATTACCACCTAAAATCCTAGCATCCTTGTGTTTCCAGGAAATTTTCTAATGTTAAAGGAGTCCTAACAGACTCTCCAATTCCTAGACACTTAAGAAATGGCTAAAAAAATTTAGGCTATTTTAGATGATTGAAGAAAATGGAAATTTTTTACACTATTTGCCTCACTTAGATAATTAATAAGCTTTCACTTTAAAAAACATTAAAATTTTTGCTACTTATTTTAATTTCATGTTGCAGATTTTGTGCTCCAGATTAAAGATCAATTTCTAGGGCTAAAATAAGTTATTTGAATATTTTCTTTTTTTTCCTTTTGAGTTTGCATATAATCCTTTTATTTTATGTTTTTAGGATATCTGGAAAAAGAATCCAAAGAGAAAGAGGAAAAAATAAATAAGATAAAATTAGTTGCTGTGAAGGCAAAGAAAGAACTAGATTCTAGCAGAAAGGAGGTAAAGTGACTTAAAAACACAAGAGTCAAGAACCTTACGTTTTAGAAAATCAAACAGTTTTTCTGTCCATAAAAAACTCTATATCATATATTTAAAATAGGCCCAGACTCTACGGGAAGACCTCGAATCTGTTCGATCAGAAAAGGATCAGTTGTCTACTTCCATGAGAGATCTCATTCAAGGAGCAGAAAGCTATAAGGTAAAAATAGTTATTTTAATAACAAGTTATATTTGTCCCTTCTAAGTTAGGAAATGTACTAGAAATGTAAAACTCTTGTCCATGACACAATCACCTTGCATTTTTTAGTTAATCTTTTTTTCTATGTTTTTATGTAGTGTGATATCATCCTAGTGTCAAGATACTAAGTGGCTAAGCTTTAAAAAGTACCTTCAAGCTGTTTTTTTAAAAGTAAAATTCTGTTTGGGAGTTCCTAATAAAAGCAGTTACAAAAAAGATGGCTATTATTACTGTTATTATTGTTCTGGCCGAGTGAATAAACCTGAAGCTTAAACAATAGGTCTAACCAGAAAGTGAAAGCATTATTATTTGGAGGTAATATTTTTGTCTACCTAGATAACATGAGAATCTATTATTAAAAAAAATAAGAATTAAAAATGAACAAGTACAACAAAATAACTGAATGTAAGATAAATACCATTGCATTTCTTTATGTGTTCATTCAGCAAATATTTATACATCCAGCCTGAGTACTGAGTACTGGAGAGATGGTAGTCAACCAAGTAGACTAAGTTCCTACCCCCTTAGGACTTAGATTCCAGTGGCAATAACAGAAAACAGACAAAAATAAAGATACATACTCTGTAGAAAAGTGAAAGTGGGGAGGGAGAAGAGAGTGAGTGGTAATCAATGGGAGTTGATGGAAAGAAGAAAATCCTATAGTAGCCAAAAAGTACATTTTAGGAAGAACTTGAATGAGAAAATTTGACACTTAATGAAGAAAACTGTAAAGCGTATAGGAATATTATTTGAAATATTAGTTCTCAGTTTGGTTTACAAGTTCTAAAACAACTTCACTAAAAATTTTTGGTGGGGCAAGCTTGATAATTATTCTAAGTTTCAAATGGAAAATAAACTAGCAAAAATAGCTAATGTTTTTTAAAAGTTCAGAGAAAATTGGCATCTTGCTCTAGTGGACACTAAAATTAATTATAAAACTACAATAATGTGATATAATTCTGGTGCAAAAATAACACAGATCACTTTAACAAAAGACCTAGAGACTTCTGCATAACAACAAACACTTAGAAGCCATAGAAGCCAGGCTCTCTTCTAAACACTTCACATATCTTACCATACTTAATTCACAAAACAATCCCAAGAAGTATGTTATTAACATTGTCAAATTATAAGTGAGGAATCTGAGGCACAAAGAGGTTAGGGGACTCAAGGTCAGAGAGCAAGTAATGCAGCTGAGCCAGGATTGGGTTCAGGCAGTCTAGTGTCAGATCTGTTCTTTCACCAAGTAAGCTAGACTCCCCCAGTAAGATTTGAAAACATAGGAACCAATGAAGAAGGAACTAGGAGACTATTCCAGAAAAATCTAGTTAGGCATTTACTTCAGTCCACAGACCAAAATAAATGCTGGATGGAATTTGTCAAAAGTGAAAGCGATTTTTCAAAACCTACAATAAAATACTTGATCATTTAACTTTTGAGTGTGAAATACTGTTGTAAACTTAAAAGCAATTTAAGAAATTACAAAGGAAAAGATAGATTGAACTATATAAACTATAAAATTAACATATGAAAATATGACAAGGGATTAGTATCCTTAATATATAAAGATGTCCCGTAAATCCATTTATAATTTATATGTGGGCTTGTGTGTCTTTTATGAGCCCTTACAACCTTGCCTCTTTACAATTTAAGAGTCCCTATCTAATTTATTAATTTCCTCCAGAGGTAGACCAGGTATACCAATTTATTTGTTTAAAATATAGATTTCAGGAGACTGAAAAATAAAATATCCAAGAACTGTGGGACAGCTACAAAAAGTGTAACATTATATGCGTAATGAGAATGCCATAAGAAGAAGGAAGAGAGAAAGAAACAAAAGAAATATTTGACATGATAATGACAGAGAATTTCCCCAAATTAACGTCAGGCACCAAACCACAGATCCAGGAAGCTCAAAGAACACCAACCATGATAAATACCAAAAAAACTACATGTAGGCATATCATTTTGAAACTACAGAAAATCAAAGATAAAAAATTGTGAAGAAGCCGTAGGGGGAAAGACACCTTACCTATAGAGGAACAAAGATAAGAATTACATCCAGGGGCCGGCCCGGTGGCGCAAGCGGTTAGGTGTGCACGCTCCGCTGCGGGGGCCTGGGTTTCGCCGGTTCGGATCCCGGGCGCGCACCAACGCACTGCTTGGCAAGCCATGCTGTGGCGGCGTCCCATGTAAAGTGGAGGAGGATGGGCACGGATGTTGGGCCAGGGCTGGTCTTCTTCAGCAAAAGAAGAGGAGGATTGGCAGATGTTAGCACAGGGCTGATCTCCTCACAAAAAAAAAAAAAAATTACGTCCAACTTCTCCTCTGAAACCATACCAGAAAGAAGAATGTGGAATGAAATATTTAAAGTGTTGAGAGAAAAAAAACCCACCAACCTAGAACTCTGTGCCCTGCAACATTATCCTTCAGAAGTGAAGGAGAGAGAGACTTTTTCAGACAAAAAATGAGAGAATTTGTTGGTAGTAGACATGCCTTTCAAGAAACATTAAAAGAAGTTCTTTAGAGAGAAGGAAAATGATGTCAGATCCAGAAGAGGCAACACAATATTGAAGAAGAATAAAGTGGAAGAATTGACACTATCTGGCCTCAGGACTTTTATAAATCTACAGCAAGCAAGACCACGTAGTATTGCTGAAAGAACAGACAAATACATCAGTGGAACAGAATAGAGAGCCCAGAGATAGACCCACATGAGGATAGTCAACTGACCTTTGACAAAGAAGCACAGATCATCTTTTCAACAAATGGTGCTAGAACAACTGGACATCCACATGCAAAAAAATGAATCTAGACACAGACCTTACACCCTTAACAAAAATTCACTCAAAATGGATCATAGACCTAAATGTAAAATGCAAAACTATGAAACTTCTGAAAGATAACATAGGAGAAAATCTAGATGACCTTGGGTGTGGTGATGACTCTTAGATACAACATCAAAAGCACTATCCGTGAAAGAATCAATAAGCTGTACTTCATTAAAATTTAAAATTTCTGTTCTGTGAAAGATAATGTCAAGAGAATGAGAAGACAAGCTACAGACTGGGAAAAAATATTTGCAAAGGACATATTATCTGATAAAGGACTGTTATTCAATATATACAAAGAACTATTAAAACTCACCAACAAGAAAACAAAAAGTCTGATTAAAAAATAGGCCAAAAGAGGGCCAGCCCAGTGGCGCAGCAGTTAAGTGCATGTGCTCCGCTGTGGCGACCCAGGGTTCAGATCCTGGGCGCCTACTGATGCACCGCTTGTCAAGCCATGCTGTGGTGGCATCCCATATAAAGTAGAGGAAGATGGGCACAGATGTTAGCCCAGGGCCAATCTTCCTTAGCAAAAAAGAAGAGGGTTGGCATCGGATGTTAGCTTGGGGCTGACCTTCCTCACAAAAAAAAAAAAATAGGCCAAAGACCGTAACAGACACCTCACCAAAGAAAATATACAAGATAGCACATAAGCATGTGAAAAGATATTCTACATCGTATGTCATCAGGGAAATGGAAATTAGAACAACAAGGTAGCACTGCACACATATTAGAGTGACCAAAATCCGAAACCCCAACACCATCAAATGCTGGCAAGGATGTGGAGCAGCAGGAACTCTCCTTCATTGCTAGTGGGAATGCAAAGTATGGCCGCTTTGGAAGGCAGTTTGACCATTTCTTATAAAACTAAACATACTGTTACCATGTGATCCAGCAACTATGCTCCTCGGTATTTACCCAAAGGAGCTAAAAAGTTATATCTGCACAGAAACTTGCACATGATATTTATAGCAGCTTTATTCATAATTGCCAAAACTTGGAAGCAACCAAGGTGGCCTTCAGTAGGTGAGTGGATAAATAAACTGGTATATCCAGACGACGGAATGTTATGCAGCACTAAAAGGAAATGAGCTATCAAGTTATGAAAAGACATGGAAGAAACTTAAATGCAAACTACTACTAAGTGAAACAAGCCAATAGGAAAAGTCTATATAATGTATGATTCCAACTATATGACTCTCTGGAAAAGGCAAAACTATGGAGACAATAAAAAGATCAATGGTTTCCAGGAGGTGTGGGGAGGAAAGGATGAGTAGGTAGAACACAGAGGATTTTTAGGGCAGTGAAACTACTCTGTATGATACTCTGTAATGGTGATACATGTCGTTATAAATCTGTCCAAACTCACAGAATTTCCATCAAGAGTGAATCGTAATATGAACTGTGGACTTGCGTGATAATGTTGTGTCAGTGTAGGTTCATCAGTTGTAACAACTGTACCACTGTGGTGGGGGATGTTGATAGTAGAGGAGGCTATTCATGTGTGGGGGTGGGCAGGGGTAATGGGAAATGTCTGTACGTTCCCCTTGTTTCTGATGTGAACCTAAAACTGCTCTGAAAAATAAAGTCCATTAAAATATTTTTTCAAATAGATTTTATAGTTAGAAAATTTTCTCAATCTTTGAGTAAGCTGGAGATTCCATTTGTGTTGAAGCAACAGGATTGAAGATAAAATCAGAGGTGCTGATATGTTTAACAATGGTGGTCTTGGGGCTGGCCCAGTGGCAGAGTAGTTAAGTTGATGTGCTCCACTTTGGCAGCCCAGGGTTTGCAGGTTCGGATCCGGGGCACAGACCTATACACCACTCATCAAACCATGCTGTGGCAGTGTCCCACATAGAAAATAGAGGATTTACACAGATGGTAGCTCAGGGACAATCTTCCTGAAGCAGATAGGAAGATTGGCAGCAGATGTTAGCTCAGGGCCAATCTTCCTCACCCAAAAAAAAAAAAGCAGTAAAAAAAAGAAGAAGAATGGTGATCACTTTTTATAGAAACAGATATATAACTAAGCTCCATTATGTTCTTCAGGGATCATCACTATTAAGAAGAAGAGTAATTTTGCAGGTTACTTGTGAATTTGGCTAGACAGTTTTTTTTCATTGTTCATGTCACTTATAATAATAATTTTTATCAGTTTTTTTAAAGATCTGAGCATGCAGCAGTTGTGAAGGGACGATAATTTGTAATTATTCATTTGCTCAGAAGCATCAGCATAAACATCAGAGAAATTAGACCATTGTATGTATGGCGCTCGTGTTTTCTTCCAGGGCTCCCCTTAGGAATACTATGTGATTATAGTCAAAATATTCTGTAGGGAGCCATGATTTACTGGAGGCAGCCTTGGGATAGCAAGTCAATCTTTGCAGCTATTGACAACTGTTAGAACCATAATGAGTAAGAACAAAAAAGACTAAATAGAGTCGAACGGGATTAAGATCTCTCATCTTTAGAGTTAGAGCAGTCCACACAAATACAAAACAAGTATGGAATCTTCTCTCTATTGAGAAGAAGACAAATGATTTCTCAGCCCCATATTCATGTACGCCAGGAAGTAACAGAATCCTCAAACAAATAAACATGGGCAAACAAATACATAAGCCAGATTCTAGATTCCCAATTCCTGCTTTCTGCCAGGCAGACCATAAAATCGAAACTCAGATTCTAACACTCAGCCACCAGCGAGAACATTAATTGATCAAGTGTAAATCAGAATTAGAAACAAAATTAGATTTCACCAAGAATCAGATTTGGCAAGCAGGAGCCAAGCAAGAAAGAGAACATAATTGCCACACATGAGACCACCAGAGGAGCCTGGGAAGGTGAGCCAAGGACTCAAGAGGTCCAGATCTGGACGAAGGCCATTTTTCAGGCTTCCCAAAATAAACTTTCAAAAAAGCTCAGAAACATTTTATTAGTGATTTTGCACACAAATTCATTTATGTGAAGGAGAACAGTCAGCAGTTGTCCAGGAATAAAGGCAAAAACAGGATTTATAAGGGGAGGGGAGTAGAAACTACAGGCAGTCTGGAAACAGTGAATCTCATTTATACATTTTTGGAGATAAACTCATTGGCTGGTATGTAGCAAAAAGTTCAGTCTGGGCATTCTGTCCTTGGGTGGAGGCCAACTAGGAATATCAAAGAAAAAAATTTAGTTGATTTTAGTCTTCAGAAAATATTGAACGTTTTGCTGCCAAGTATGAGAGACTGTATTTATATAATGTCTTCCCATGTTCTTCCATTAGCACCTCTACCTTATATTAGGCCAGGCCTGAAACATTTCACTCATCAGAATTCTTTAAGTGGAGTTAATAGGTGCCCAGGTTAAACTTTTTCTCTTCCCTCAAATTTTGTTTACGTTTCAGAAGTTTGTGTTTGTTGATGACTGGAATATTTAACTTGGAGATAGTATACTGTATACATTTAAAATCCTCTTCCCCTTTAAATGATTCTCCATACTAAAAGTCATCTGAAATATGCTAATTTATTTATAATGCCAGTTAGGTATTCTTTCAAATGTTGAATCTAGGTAAATGTTTTAATCTTCCACAATGGACTCATAAATCTTATATGAAGATGACTTGATGATATAGTCTGACTGTATAATAATATTCTAATGTTAAATCCTTTTGTCTTTTATTTAAGAATCTTTTATTAGAATATGATAAGCAGTCAGAGCAGCTGGATGTGGAAAAAGAACGTGCTAATAATTTTGAGCATCGTATAGAAGACCTTACAAGACAATTAAGGAACTCTACTTCTCAGGTAACTTTAAATTGAGTAAATGCAGACATGAAAATTGTAATATTTCAGTTTCAGTATTTTTTGCATAAAAAAATAATACATAGAAACTTAATTTCATTTTCTTTTTCCTACTGTTGGGAGAAGAATATGACAGAACAACTAGCAACCATCCTGTCTTACTTATTGCTCTAATCTCAGTTCTCCTGGGGTTTTTTTGTTCGTGTTCTCATTTTTGCCTTTTCCCCCACCAGTGCTCCTGGTCTCTTGTAATGTTTGCCAAAATAATATCAACAACAATTTAAACTTATTCTTGATTTTTCATTGTCGTTCTCTGGAATTGATTTTGAAATCTTTATTTTTCATACTATGCCAATATTCTCATTAATGTACCGTTTTATTCTTCCTCTCCTGTTATATTTTATGTATGTATACAGTAATGAATCATTTGTCATTCTAGTGTGAAAAATTAAATTCTGATAACGAAGATCTCCTGGCTCGTATTAATACACTACAGTCTAATGCCAAGTTGTTAGAAGTACAGATTTTAGAAGTCCAGAAAGCCAAAGCGATGGCGGACAAGGAGTTGGAAGCAGAAAAACTTCAGAAAGAGCAGAAGATAAAGGTAAGAACAGTCCTGTGGGATTAATTCATGTTATATAGTGATATTTTTATGAAAGTGTTATTTAAATGAAGAAAAGACTAATGAATAGCATTTGTGAATACAGCAGAGTTCATTAATTCCTTAATGTATTCTAACCATGCATTTGAGAATCCAAGCTATGATTTTGGGGTGTATATTTTTTAAATATTTCTGAAAGACTTCCAAACTTTTTGTATTTTAGTATGTCAGATTTATTTTATAACCCCTTACAAATACCATTTTTAATGTTGGTTCATGTGGGGGGTGGCGGTGTTTTTATTTTTAATTTTAGGAGCATGCCAGTTCTGTAAATGAACTTGAAGAACTTCAGCTACAACTTAAAAAGGAAAAGAAACAGCTTCAGAAAACCATGCATGAATTAGAGCTGGTTAGAAAGGTAAAATAAACACCAGACTCAAAACTAATGTCAATATTCACGTTGTTAAACTATTCTATAAATGTTGAAAAGAAATGTTTTCAAAAACAAAGTTATTTGTGGTACTAAAAGAATCATTTACAAATTGCTTCAGAAAACTGAAAATTTAACCTATTTCTCTGAGTGCCTGTCTCTGCAGAAGAATCTAGGATCATGAATTACTGGATTTTGGTTTGATATTTCATTTTTTGTACGTGATTATTGTATGACACATGAAGATTTAATGTCAAAAGTTGAAATTTGTTTTATACTTAGAACTGTGGCTGATTTTTCTCTACTTTTTCAAAGATGAGGCGAAAAAGAAAGATACTGTAAGAGCTGTGTAAAATATTAATATTTGATAAATAAGAGCCCACTAGAGTAGAACTACCAATTGTGGTTAATGAAAATAATAGTGAAATACAATGAAACTGAGAAAGTTGGATTGAACTATTAGAAAATATTTTATTTTATGAAATTACAAACAACTTCTAGTTTCCTCTATGCAAACTTTGCATATGCAAACTTTCTATATCACAGAAAAGCATAATAGAACCTGTTTTTTCCTGTGGCATAATTTTTGCAGTTTTACAAATGAGATTAACTTATGTAGTATTTTTAATATGTGCAGGATGCCCAACAAACCACATTGATGAATATGGAAATAGCTGATTATGAACGTTTGCTGAAAGAACTAAATCAAAAGTTAACGAATAAAAACAGCAAGATAGAAGATTTGGAGCAAGAAATAAAAATTCAAAAGCAGAAACAAGAAACCCTGCAAGAAGAAATGAGTGAGTAAAACAAAATTCTCTTTAACTTACAATAATTTTATCATAACAGAATACAGGGAAGCAACGTTAGTTGTTCATGTCACCAGTCCAGACTGCCACCCAAGTCTTTCACACAGTGCTAAACATTAATAAGGACCAAAATGATTGTGTGAACCATTTGTTCAGATGTTTGCAGTGCACGTTGGTGTGTAAAGCGTTCACCCACTGAAACATTCTTGAGCACCTGCTGCACGCATAAGGCAAAGATGAAAACGGTCTTTGTCCATGGTGTCCTGACTGTCAGCAGAGTGCAGGGATTCAAACAGCAGTGAAATCTTCCTTTTCAAGGTGAATATGTTCCGTTTTATCCATAAAGTAATTTCTAATGTAAGCATCTAAAGCTAATAATATCCCTTTAGGCACTTCTTCAGTTATTATCTCACAAATTGATATGTTGTATTTTTATTTTATTTCAGTCCAAAATATTTTTTAATTTCCTTTGGATTTCTTTTTTGATCCATGGGTTGTTTAGAAGTATATTATTTAGTTCCTAAATATTTAAGGAAATTTTGGGGTATCTTTCTGTTAATGATTTCTAATTTAATTCCTTTGTAGTTAGAGAACATACTCTGTATGATTTCAGTCCTTTTAAATTTATTGAGTTCTGGTTCATAGACCAGAATATGATTTCTTTTGGTGAATGTTCCTTATGCACTTGAAAACAACGTGTTAGACTGTAGTAGCTGTTGGATAGAGTGTTCTATCAATTTCCCTGCTGCACCACAGTCTAGAAATTGCCTCCAGGCAGAAAGCTGGGACTGTAATAGGGCTCACCTTGTTTGTTTACCTGCTCTCAGGGATCACAGTTCTATACTGATTATTGTCCAATGTCAGAAAATAGTTTTTTCATATATTTATTCAGTTTTCTAGTTGTTCACAACAGGAAGGTAAGTCTAGATCTCATTACTCCCTCATGACCAGAAGCAGAGTTCCATAAAATAATTTGAGATGGCTACCAAGATATTTCTGCACAAGACTTTAGATATATAAATGATGAGGAAATGGAATAAAAGGAAATATTGAGGTATAGGACTACACAGTGAAGTTAAATATAAGATCAAGACATAAAGTGTATGTTCTGTGTACTTTTGCTATCACTGTGGTCTCCCATAAATTTGGCTTTGAGCCTCCCAGAAGCCAGAGCAAAGACAGAAACATTATCAGTTACAAGCTTTATAGTATCCACAATATTAGATAAATGTGATGCTTGTGAAAGACACAGCTTTTCCTGCTACTAAGATGTGTGAGAGAACAGTTTTTCAGGCATTTTTATAAAGGGAACACTGTGTCATATGGAACAGTGGTCCCATCTAGAGAGCTTTTTGGAAAGCCCAGGCACAGAGGTAAAGGATCAGAATCTTAAAGGGTGGGGCCTTGAAGTCTGTGTTTTCAGAAGTCTCATATGTGATTTTGAAGTTAATGTTAGCTTAGGAATGTCAAACATCCAGAAATAGCAAAATTAAAACCACCAAATCAATAAATAGTGTTTAGTAAGTTTATTGTGCATATGAGAACAGTTTACACACTGGAAGCTTTCAGATTCAAAGACTGATAGCTCAGGCGGCTGACGTTACAGGATGGCCGATCAAGTGAAATGAGGACGTGATTAACCTTTACGATGACAGCGCATTACAGTGGAGCTTTCCAGATGACAGGCAGTTGGTTAAAAGTGATCATCTTATACCGTTTTTAGGAAGATGACTTAGTTTCTTTTATGATTGTCAGAGGCATTTGTACAAGAAGCGGCCCAAGTTAGCAAATTTGCTTGTTTTGCAGAATAAGCTAAATTAAGTTTCACTTATTGTGGTTTAAGTAGTTTTGTCTGCTCAGGGAGTTTTCGGTTCCCGTCTCTACTTTGTATTTAATTTTAACAGGACCCACTGATAATTTGGACTTGTATTCTCAGCGGCATCTCCACAATAAATAAAATAACAAATCTTGCATGACTGTTCCATAATGCATACTTCATTCATCCTGTGGTCAAATCACAGCTCAATAAAGGCAATTCCATGAAGGAACAAAGCAATAAAGTCCAAGTGTACAGAGTTGTGATGATCCACCTGAATTCAGGGATAAAATGTAGGCTATTCAGATAATTGAATGGATTGTATAGGTTCCAGACAATTCACTATGCATTTACCATGTATTCCAACTTATGTTCTTGGTACATTCAAGGTGAATAGCAGAGCTCTAAGTGACATTTCTGCAATGCAGACATTTGGTTTTATGAATTAGTGAATCTATATATTTTTGATAGCTAGCTGAGAGGCTTGATACCTTGGGAAAACTAAAAAGAGGTGCTTATTCAAGAAGGCCACCCACTTCTCACTGATAAATAAGTACAGAAATGAGTGATACAGGCAGTGAATGCTAAGAGTTCAGAGGGGAGAGAGATTCTGTAGACTGAAACAGTTAAAAGTTGGGGCTCAAGTTGAGCGTTGAAGGTAAGGTTTTGAGAGAAAAAGTGGATCGGGAAAGAGTATTCCTTTCTGCAGCTACAGTATGAAAAAGAAACATAAGTATTAAACAAAAAAAACATAATTTTGGAAATCTAGGTGGAATGAAAGGCTTGACCTGTTAGGGAGAAGTGAGGTATAGTTAGGAAGCTATTCTTGATCCAGTTCGTGAAGTACCTGAATACCACAGTGTGTTTGGGCCGTCTCTAAAGGCAGTGGGAAAGATTGATCTGCCTAGTCCATCAAATTACTTAGAATGGTATAGAATCTGGGAAAAGCCACCAGCCTCGTGGCAGCAAAGACCTTGGCAGGCTGGGCTAAAGAGTTATGGTAGAGGAGGAAGAAGGTAAGGAAGCACAGGACAATGTTCCAGGCAAAAAAATTGGTGGCTCGCTCTGCCTAATGAATTAGGAACACACATCATCTTGATCTCAACGCTCCAACGTCTGGCTCCAGTCTGGCTTTTCACCTTAATTCTCTACTCTCCCACGGGTAAAGAGGACTGTGCATTTTTCCTGAGAGATGGCTTGTGCTTTTCCATAACTGCGTATTTCATCTGCTGTTCTTTCTTTCATGCCCTGGCCCTCTCACCCCCATGCTCACCTTTTGGAATCCTTCCTAATTTTAAATGTTTCCCATTCTATATCTTCCTTGTCCCGTGCAAAATGTATATAACCTTTAGCCCATGTGGATCCCCATAGCCTTTTGTATTTCGTTTTTAACATTTATATTTTGCTTTATGTTGTCATTTGAAATGTTATCCCCTAATTTCATTCTATATTCTTTGAGTTCAGGAACTTAGTATATCTTGCTTATCATACTTCCTGGAGCAGTTAACAAAGGCTTCGTATGTAATTTGTGCTTTATAAAATGCTTTTTAGAACTGGGTAAATAGTTGCTGGGAAATAACTGAATTAGATTTATCATAAAAAGGCATAGTTAAGATAAAGTCTTACAGTATACCTATTTATATTTACCAAGTAATACAGTCTGAATATGTGGATTTAACTTAATAAAGTTAATCGTTGCTTATAAGATCTTTTACAGCACAGTTACTTAGCACCCGTATAACTGGTCTCGACCAGATGTCAAGCACACTTTTTCTGTAAAGGACCTCATAATAAATCGTGGCTTCACAGACCACATGGTCTCTATCATATATTCTTTGTTTCACAACAGGCTGTGGCCAAATTTGGCCTGCTGGTTGTAGTTGGGTACCTGTGATCCAGACAATGAATCTACTTATTCCTATTTGATATTTGTTTCTTCTTGACCTCTGTTAGCATAAGTTGTTTTTTTAATCATGTTTCACTTTGTTCCTTAGTGAACTCTTTCACTGACAGTCTTGTTCTACAAACAATTAGTATCACAAAAATAGACAACCAGGTATGTGCCTCTGATGTGATACAATTGGCAATACACAGCACTTCTTTTGAGGTATTTCTTAAAAGTAGAGTCTTTATCTTTTAGATAGGTAGTAAGTATGTACTTTTATTTCAGAGATATATACTGAAATACAGATGAGTTGATTTCCTGTAAAAAGATAAAAAGCAATAGGGGCACAAGGAGTAGATGAGGGTATAGGTCAGGGTTTGGCAAACTTTTTCTATAAAGGGCCAGACGGTAAATATTTTAGGTTTTGCAAGCCTTGTAGTCTGTGCTGCCGTTAGTCAGCACAGTTGTTACACTAAAGCAGCCATAAACAATATGTGAAAAAATGAGCCTGACTGTGTTCTAATAGAAGCATTTACAGAAACAAGCAGCAGTCAGATTTGGCCTGTGGGCTTGACTCCTGGTCTGGGTGAAATCAAATTGGCCACATATTGGTAATTGGTAAAGCCAGTGATGGGTACAGTGGGGTTCAGTGTATTACTGTCACTACTGTCATGTATGTTTGAAATATTCCATAATAAAAAGCTAAGACAGTTTTCTTTTGAAGATAGGTTAATACAAAGAAAAGACTCATCATTTACTTATTTAAATTCATTCATAAAGATCGTTTCATCTCTTCTGAAATTATTTCTTATATACTAGCTTCACTGCAGTCTTCAGTGCAACAATATGAAGAAAAAAACACCAAAATCAAGCAGTTGCTTGTGAAAACCAAAAAAGAACTGGCAGATTCAAAGCAAGCAGTATGTTAATTTCTCAGTTTTACATATTAATACTTATGCATAGTGTATTTATGAATAACTTCTTTTTTAAATTTAACCAAGATTCTTATTCTGTAGGAAACTGATCACTTAATACTTCAGGCATCTTTAAAGGGTGAGCTGGAGGCAAGCCAGCAGCAAGTAGAAGTCTATAAAGTAAGATTTTTTTTACTTTCTAAGATTTAAAAATAAATTTCCATGTGGAAATAAGGTACCATTTAGGGATTTTTCTAAATAACCTTATATATATATATATATATATATATTTTTTTTTTTTACACACACACACACACACACACAATTTTTTTTTTCTTCTCCTAAATATCCTTCCTCAACATTTTGAGGAAATTGAAGCAATAAGCCAAGTATGGCATTTAGTTTAAGCTACTTTTTTTCATGTATTTGAAAATCCATATTACACTAAGAATATTGCAATATAAAATAAACATGGCCCCAAATCTCTAGCTGAACTTTCTAAATGAGAGTACAGCCACAGGAATCAGTTTATAAAACGGTTTTGTATATTTATGTTGTATTTATATGTATATTTACATTATTTATTTATATATTTTTATATCTATTATATGTAATATCTTGAGGTATTTGATTAAACATTGAATGGTAACATGTAGTCTGGAATTTATTCATGATTGATTTTTTTGGTTTTGATTTAAGCAAGACTAAATTTATTGTGAAATGTTCTATTCACATTGTCTCTGCTCTTTCAATAATAATAGATAAAAAAATGTACTATTTCATTATGTTCCATATATATACTGTGTTTCAAAACTCAAGTTTATGTTTAAGGAAAGTCTTCTTAACCAGTGAAGATCTGATTTACTAGAGCTTAACTGAAAGATTTTGCCCCCAGATTCAACTGTCTGAAATAACATCTGAGAAACACAAAATTCACGAGCACCTGAAGACTTCTGCGGGCCAGCATCAGCGCACGCTGAGTGCATACCAGCAGAAAGTGACAGCCCTTCAGGAACAGTGCCACGCTGCCAAGGTGCGCTCTTCACGCGGAAGCCACATGTCACAGATGTTATTATCAACTAGCAAGCAGTTTACTTGAGGGCTATGGTCTCCCTTTTTAGTGTTTGCTCTTCTTTAAGAGCACTTACTAGATGAATACCTGGTTCAGCTCATCTGACCCTAATCCCAGCCCCATCCCAACCCTGTCACCTTTTTTTTGCTAAAAGGAATGACATGGTTACATGTTGTTTCCATTTCAGCCTTGTTTTGCTATTTCTATGTGTAAGAAGCTTTTTTTTTAATTTTTTATTAGAAGAGTGTTGTAGTTCTTTCTGAGGGCTAAGTGATTATAAAATAATATTCTAATAGAATAGCTGTGGGGGCTACTTTCTTATCTTTAACACAGAGAACAGATGAAGTACCGTAGTTTTGCTAGACATGCAGCTCTTATCCAAGCGATCTGGGCAGAAGGGTCATGGAAGTTTACAGACCACTTCAGGAAAGTGGAAGGCCTAGAATTTAACTTGTCCCACTCTTTTGAAAACTGAAGTTCAATTAGCTTAATTTCTTTGAATTAATTTTTATTGTAATTATAAAAAGAGAAATGTCATAAGTGAAAATCTTTCTCAAGTTCCAAAGGCAAATAGTGCCATTATAAAATTTATGGGTAGTAAATTAATCTGCCAGGGAAGAAAACATGGTAGAAACATATCTCTTGTCAGACAATATTATGTCAGTCAAAGGCTTTAGAAAAGTGTAAGGCCAACAGAAGCACACTTTTTAGGGAAAGGTAAACAGAGGGCTAAAGAGTGTCAGCCATTTTACTCATTTTCAAAAACAGGTTTTCATCTTTATCTTTGAAAGAACACAGGAAGATCATGTTACAATAGAAAAATTTTTCTCTCTCTTTTAAATGTTATAGGCAGAACAAGCTGCTATAACCTCTGAATTTGAGAGCTACAAAGTCCGAGTTCATAATGTTCTAAAACAACAGAAAAATAAATCTGTGTCTCAGGCTGAAACCGAGGGAGCTAAACAAGAAAGGTAAAGTCTAAAGTAAAAGACGCATGCAGGGCCGGCCCCGTGGCTTAGCAGTTGAGTGCACGCGCTCCACTGCTGGCGGCCCGGGTTTGGATCCCGGGCGCACACTGATGCACCGCTTCTCCGGCCATGCTGAGGCCGCGTCCCACATACAGCAACTAGAAGGATGTGCACCTGTGACATACAACTATCTACTGGGGCTTTGGGGGAAAAATAAATAAATAAAATTATAAAAGTCGCATGCAGGGCTTTTCCCCCCAGGGCAGGTTGTCTACCAAGTAGGTTGAAAATCCTACTTTGATTTCTTTTGACTGTGGAATTTTACATGTAATTACCGATGAGAACAGAGTTTCTTGGCTTCACTGTGTCTCCAGACAGCAACAAGGAAACATCACTAAGAAAGACACTGTTACAAACTCAAAAAACGTGTAAAGTGAACAGTGAAACAAGGATATAGACTTCAAGATGTAGGCTAAATGGTTTCATCTTGTAGTAGCTCTGGTCATAGTAGAAACACAAACATTAAAGTTACATTATGATTAGTTTCTTCAATTTTGAAAATTTAGAAGTAGAAGACTAAAAATGATTCCTTGATGTACTTTGTTGTTACGTGCCATCACGTCAGCTCCTACTCCTGGCGACCCTATGCATGAGTGATGTCCACAATGTCCTGTCCTCAACAGCCTACTCAGCTCCTGTAGACTCAGGCCTGTGGCTTCGTTTCTTGAGTCAACCCATTTCATATTTGGTCCTCCTCTCCTCCTGCTGCCTTCTACTTTTCCCAGCATTATTGTCTTCCCAGAGAATCCTGCCTTCTCATGATGCGCCCAAAGTAGGACAGCCTCAGTGTTATCATCTTTGCCTCCAGTGGTGGTTCAGGCTTAATTTTCTCTAGGACCCATTTGTCATCTTTCTGGCAGTCCAGGGTATCTGTAGAGCTCTCCTCCAACACCATATTTCAAATGAATCCATTTTTTTCCTATCAGCCTTCTTCACTATCCAGCTTCTGCTCCCGGACACAGTGACTGGGAACACGGGGGTGTGGATAATCTTGGCCTTGGTCTCTAACGACACTTCCTTACACTCGATGATCTTTCCTAATTCCTTCATTGCTGCCCTTCCGAGTCTCAGTCTTCTCTTGGTTTCTTGGCTGCAGTCTCCGTTTAAACTGTTGACTGAACCAAGACAGACCAAAATCTTTAACAATTTCAGTGTCTTCAGTGTCTACTTTAAGTAGTGTAGTTCTTCTGTAGTCATGATTTTTGTCTTTATAATGTTCAAATGCAGTCCTGCTTTTGCATTTTCTTCTTTCACTTTCGTCAGAATTTGTTTCGAGTCATTGCTGCTTTCTGCCAGGAAGATGGTGTCATCTCCATATCTTAGACTGCGGATATTTCTTCCACCAATTTTCGCTCCTCCTTCATCTGAGTCTAGCCCAGTTTTTCATATGATATGTTCTGCGTCAGATTAAGCAGAAAGGGAGATAAAATGCACCCTGTCTCACACCTTTGCGTGAAGGAAACCGTTCTGTCTCTCCATATTCTCTCTTGATGTGGCTTCTTGTCCACAGTACAGGTCACACATCAGGACAGTCAAGTGCTGAGGCTCGCCCGTTTCTTTCAGATCAGCCCACAGCTTTTCATGATCCACTCAAAGGCTTTACTGTCGTCTATAAAACATAGACTAAGCTTCTGAAATTCCTTGGAGCACTCCAGTAGCCGACGAACAATCTCAGTCAGATCTCGCGTGCCTCTCCCTTACTGAAATCCAGCGTGGACCTCAGGCATTTCTGGCTCCATGTGAGGTAGAGGCCTTTGCTGCAGTGCCTTGAGCATCACTTTACTGGCCGGGGAAGTTAGAGCCATAGGCCTGTGGTCACCACACTCCTGGCATCTCCTTTCTTGGGGATGGGGATGTATATTGAGTGTTCCAGTCTGTAGGGCGTAGTTTTGTTTTCTACATTTGTTGGCATATTCTTATTAGGATTTTGACAGATTCAGTCTCTGTGGCGTGAAATAATTCTGTCAATATCCCATCTACCCCTCGTGACTCATTTCTTCCCGGGCAGCTGTCACTTCACTTTCTACAATCACTTTCTAGAATCAGGGGTTCTTCCTCATAGGAACCTTCTTCAAAGATGTACTTATTCACCATTAATTAAGCTGAACTGAAGTTGCTTAAAAATATTTTACTTATTTCAAAAAGTTTTAAATTAAGTACTAACTTTTGGTCTAGAATTAAATTTTCCTCTTAAATTTTCTCAATTACTGTGTCAATAGTATATTCTTTAATGCTTCTTTAAAACTAGCATGCAGATCACTTGTAAATTATTCAGAAGTGTCCTAGGGGTAAGAGGCAGAGCATTCTACAGCACGTATGCTTTGTTTTTATAAGTGGAGGTTCAGTGTTCAAAGCAATTTGTCTCTGGCTCGTACTCTTCTAGCTAGGACTGAATATCCTGCAGTGTCTGTGTGTTTATACTTGTGTTACTTTTTGTGAAAGTATCTATTAAATGTGGAAACTTAGGCTGAAACATGATGAGATATACTTTCTCTGTCAGTAGCTCACCTTGAAGCTGAAGTTGAATGTTGACACACTTAATATAAAGTTGTCACCATTTGCAAGTCATTTTTGATCATGCCAGAATTCTGGGTTCAAATTATTTTAATGTAAATGTTTTATGTTCCTTCTACTTTCTTATACATTAAATACTTTTTTAAAAAAGAAACTAATAGTGTATTGTATTAGTTGTGGCAGAATTATGGGTTTTAACTTTTTCTCCAAGGACTTTCTTTCACTGTTAGGTGGTGTAATGTATCATTCTTATAATGGTTAGCTTGGAACTATGTGTTTTGTTTTGTTTTTTACTGATGGCATACTCCTTTAACATAAAATAGGCAATTTTGGTGCCATTTAATGATCTGCTCAGAGATTTTTTTGTAAATCTATGTTGCCTAAGATCTAAAATCTGACTATAACATCTTCTGTATTATATTTAATCCTAATCTCTGAATTCTTCCGATTATTATATTTTGTTTAGAATCATGCATAATAATAGTAAGAGTATGACATTGACAGATTAAATGATAAAAGTAAAATTTTATTTGAAACCACAAAATCAGATTTTCCTCTTTCAAAAATTTTTTTAAAACGCTTTGTTTCTGTTTTAGAGAACACCTGGAAATGCTGATTGACCAACTAAAAATCAAATTACAAGATACCCAAAATAACCTGCAGATCAGTGTATCTGAACTTCAAACATTACAGTCTGAACATGATACTTTGCTGGAAAGACACAACAAGATGCTGCAGGAAACTGTGGCCAAAGAGGCAGAACTCCGGGAAAAGTAAGGTTGCTGGCAGCACTAACAGTGTTGGTACCAGGCAGCAAAGTCTTTCGTTGTTGGAACTCCTAATGAGTTACTTCTTGGGATAAATACAAATTAAAAATAAGAAATGGATATTTCTAAAGGCTTGGAAACTTTGCTTTTCTACTTTAAAGCTCCTCCTCTTGATTATGTACCTAGCTTTTTTAAGAACAGTTAATTTTATCTGCTCATCCAGTATTCTGTCTCTCCCAGGGCCTTCATAGCCAGGATGTTTCCTTAAAAAAACACTACTTGCCAACCTGTGTCAAACTACAAGCATTATTCTTTCTCTCTAGAGAAAAACATTCAAACAGCTGCTGACTGAAAACGAATATGCAGCTTACCTGTGCAACTCTGTCTTCAACTTCTCATATTCTTACACTTTTGTTAATCAGTACTTTAAATAGACATTAGGGGTACTGGCAGAATAAATAGATTATTGTGAACAAGGAACTTTGAATTCCTATAATAAAGAAATCAGGTGGTAATATTTGTTGTATCTTAGACTGAGGAAAAGAGTTCTTGATTGGTCATCTTTCATCAAGGATATTGGGTACTTTACATGTCTCAGGTATGCTTATAATACATGCCTAATCTTATGCTAATCTTAAAAGTGAATGCATTTTGTTTTCTTGGTTTTTTAATCTTTTAGCACTGTGATTTATGTATGTTGATCATGTAAATCAAAAATTTCAGGGAAAGTCTACCAATTTTGTCACTACCTATCACTAGGGTTTACCGTGAGGTTAGCTTATATGTAGTGATGCTTACTTGCTATTTACATCAGAAGCTTTCAACACTTATTCTTTAATCTAAAAAAGTTCTTGCAAATTATATTGCTAACAAAAGCAATCAGTGCAAGCGATGCCTCTGGAGTCATTCAGTCAATGTGTTTTGAGCACCTGCTATGTGCCAGTCACTCTTCTAAGTGCTGGAAACTGTTTACAGCATTTTAGATATTTTTAGGGGTCTCCCTCCCTCTTTCTGAAACATTAAAAGCTAAATATTGTTACTATCTGTGCCCCAGTGTGAAAAAATAGCCTTTTCTTTATATATTCTCTTCTTTTTTAAATATCTTAATATTCATACTTTCTCTGTATGAGATTGTAAAAATGGCTCCAGAAGAATGATTAGGCTGACTAGCCAATATCTGCACTGCCTGGAGGACCCAGCCAAACCCCCCAGTGTCAGCTGGGAGAGAACAGTAAACTTCCATCACCACAATTGTTCCGGTTCCAGGTGGGGGTTCAAGCTTCTAGCTCTCAGTTAGGTAAAGTCAGAAGTGTCATTGATACCACCTGAAAACTAGAAGCCTTACCTTAGCTCCGAAATGTAGTTTTTATCTTCCTTAGAAAATGGTGACTGCTGATGGTTCTTCCTTGTCTTTCTTGGTAGATTTTGTTTGGACAAAATGCTTGTAGAAAAATGCAGGTTTGAGGGGTAGCATATACACTAGTATTCTCTAAACTCATAATATGAACTTGACAATTAAGATACCTTTTCTGAAACATATGGTGTTTTTATTGCGTCTCCCTTTAGCCACTAAATCTTGTTTTAGAACCTTAGGTGGTGTGCATACGTGTAGCACACAGAAAAAAGATCTTGGAATGCTACATGCTAAACCGTTAACAATGTTTACCCCTAGAATTGAGATTTTACACTGCAGGAGAGGGGAGTGAATAAATGAGGGCTCTGACATTTTTCTGCAATTGGTTTCTTATTGGTTGAATTTTTGTGAGAGTGTATTTGTGGATCCCTTTCATAAAAAGAAAAGGTATTTTTTTTTTTACTAAAGCCCAGCATATAAAACATCAGCACTACAAGTGAACCGTTAAAAATAGCAGTTCCCAAATTGTAGGTCTACTGGCTAGTGTTGGGCTGACTACATATAAATCAATGGAAAACTGCTAAAAGTAGGCAATTCCTAGGACCACCTTTGGAAATTCTGACTCAGTGGCACTAGGATGAGAACTAGATGTCTGTGTTTTTAACAGGGTACCCCAGTGATTCTGATGTGCAGCGAGATTCAGAAACAGCTATAGTAAACCAAGTCTTGTGTTTCTGAGTTTCCTGTTAATTGGCTCAAAAATGGTTCAAAAAACTTCCTGTAAGGCTTTCTTTATGAATCTAAAGAAAGTGTTCTTTTTCATGTTTTCAGGGTAATAGAGAAAAGATAGATTAATCTTATATTTATATGAGCTACCACATAAAATAATGTGAAGAAGAGGACTAATTTAATTATTTTATGCTCTAAATATAGCCGTATTTTTTAATAAGCCATGAAGGAAGTTCCTCATCTGAACTATGGAACACAAAAAATGATTTGAACTAGATGATAGCCGGTGTCATTTCTCCCCGAGTTGTTACACAACTAAGACCGTTATAGACTCATAGGGGAGAAGTTAATTCATGCATTTGGTAGACCTCTGAGGGCTAACTCTTGCAGAACCCAGATGAGAAAGGCGGCGTCAGCATCTAAAGTTGAAAGATCTCATATGAAGTAAGTTCCTCTCACCCTTCAGGTTGTGTTCAGTACAATCAGAGAACATGATGATGAAGTCTGAACATGCACAGACTGTGAGTCAACTGACATCCCAAAACGAGGTCCTTCGCCATGGCTTCCGAGATCAAGTGCGACATTTGCAGGAAGAGCACAGAAAGACAATGGAAACTTTGCAGCAGCAGCTCTCCAAGGTGGAATCTCAGCTTTTCCAGCTTAAGAGTGAACCAACCGCAAGAAGTATGTATGTACGCGTGGAAACATTAGTTCTTCACATTCTCAAGTATTTATGTCACTTAAATACATTCTTCACAAATTCATAAGAAAATAGAAAATTTACCAGGTGACAATCAGTGTCAGGTCTGTGGTTAATGAATTTTGGATTTGCTTACTGAGAAGATATTTGAACTATCTGAACCCTTGGTTATATTTACAGCAGCCTATATAACCTCTTAGAATACTGATTTTCATGTATTTGTTACCCTCCATGTCATAAGAGTATTTCCTTTTCTCTGACTCAGATGTACTCTGTCCATCTCATGACATATGTCCAAATTTCAGTATTCACTGAATCTCTTTGGTGTTCTCCATTGTTAGTCATCAAATATATCTTTTTTAATTAGAAATATTAGAGAGCGAGAGGCTTAGAAACACTCAAGCAGCACTTAACTTTTAAGATTGCTTGGCTAATACAGCTTATTCCCTTTCAGATTTCTAATTGGAGTTTTAGTTCAGCCATACCCAGTAGCTTCCATTCTACTTCCTGGAAGAGATGGGAATGTCAGCCAAGATATTTTAGTATTAAATAGCAACTTTATACTTGATACAGTCACGCGTCGCTTAATGACAGGGACGCATTCTGAGATATGTGTCATTAGGTGATTTTGTCATTGTGCGAACATCATAGAGTATACTGAGGGGCAAGAAAATTTGCCACCCCAAAATGTGTCTCTTTAACGTGAGGATTATTTTAGGCTGATTATTTTTAAGAAACAAAAGGCTCAGAAAGTTTTTCTTGTTGCCTCCCCCTTAACTGCCTAAGAGAATTCAGATTAAAAAATCTGTTTCCGGAAGTGAGCTGTCCCCTTAGAATAACATGACCTAGGTGGTAGACAGGGAGGAACCTCGAAAAGCCTGTTATTGGGCTCCCCTCTGTGTTGTTCTGTTTCTGTGTAGCCAGACACTTGTTTTCCAGACGTTTACTCCTTTTCACTACCTGTGAATTGTCTTCCTTCCCTTTGAAGTCCCTGACTCTCCCCACCCCCAAGATCTTCTTTTGTCTTTAGCTGAGGATTGTATGTAAGGTGAGAGCTTTGGCCATACTGGCAAATTACTTGGTTTTCCTGGATTTCTCCCATGTATACATGTTATTAAACTCTTTGTTTTTTTCCTGTTAATCTGTCTCATGTCAATTTAATCCTTACACCAGCCAGAAAAATCTAGAAGGGGAGAGGAAAATTTCTTCCTCCCTTGCAGTGCTTACACAAACATAGATGGTATAGCCTACTACACACCTAGGCTATATGGTACTAATCTTATGGGACCATCATCATATATGTAGTCCATCTTGGACCAAAACGTCGTTATACAGTGCATGACTATACTGTTTCCTTTGGAAAATGTTGTCACCAGGGCTTGGCAGCTATGGGGCATTCGTCAGGGTCAGAAACCAGCTTCAAGGAAATTTAACAAATGCCAGGAGTCATCAAAGGAAGTAACCAGTCAGGGAAGGACTGGTTGCACAAGAGATTGTAATCTAGGAATCAGCAGTGGAATAGGCAGTTAGCAAAACATCAGAAACCCAGGCAAGTCCTTCACCAAAGGCAGCCAGAGGGCTCATGTTTGAAAGAAAAGGGGAGGCAACTCATGGAATGGGACATAAGTGAAATTTGAAGTTAAAAGATCTGAGTTAGAATTCTGGTCCCTAACCCAGCTATAAGACCTTGGGCAAAGTTATTTAATTTCTCTGACCTTCAGGTTTCTTGAGATTAATAAAGTAATGTGTTTGAAAGTGTCTTATAAATCTTAGAGTTCTATGCAAGTGTTTATAATCAGCAAGCAAGAAAGGCTTACTTGGGAAGTAAAATTAGATTAGTTCCCTGCCCTGGCTTCTAGACTCTTCTTGCCTGAACACTGAAGATGTGAGCAGGCAGTGATGGGAACCAGGAGAGCAAAGGTTTAAGGGCAGTGATCAACAAGAATGTCTGCTGAGCAGACTTCAGCAAGTGTGTTGTGCCAGAAAGGATGCAGCTATCTGAAATACCTAATCCTCAAAAATAGCTAGAATCTAGTTTTAGAGTTTTACCAATATTGAGCAACAATATAGTCGTCTATATTGTGTTATCTAATAGTTTATCTTATCTAGTTAGTAGCAAGTGATTTATCGCTTCTGCTGAAATGACTCCAGTGGTTAAAAGTTCAATAACTAAAGTTTTAGGGCTGTTTTAGAAATTCTTTCTTTATACACCATTTACTTGTCATTTAGTTATTCAAGTTCCCTACCATATTATTTGACATCCCTAGAATCATTTTAATTTTATTGTGTATCTCTGTTAATGCTGAATCCGTGATTTTGAGCAATCTCACACTTAATCTTTTAAAAAAAATTTAATAGGCCCAGCTTCTTCCCACCAACCTATGAAGAACCTTCGAGAAAGGAGAAACACAGACCTTCCGCCTTTGGACATGCACGCCGTAACTCGGGAGGATGGAGAAGGAATGGAAACGACTGATACTGAGTCCGTGTCTTCTGCCGGCGCTCACACACAGTCTCTAGAGCAGCTTCTTAATTCTCCTGGAATTAAACTTGGTATGTTTCTCTGTTTAAATATGTTTTTCTTATTTAATTCTGTTGTCTTATCTATTAGTGTTACTCTGATTTATTTATAAATACTTCTTTGAGCTACTCTAATAAAATTTCTTTCAGTCTTCTACCCCTTGTTTCAAATGGAAAACTTTCCTGCAGAATGAAACCAATTTTTTTTTAAATAAAATGCTAGTCCTGCCCTAAGCTTGAGCCAGAAATAAATGGTTGGAAGTTCTATCATGGTATTAGAAAGTAGGATAAACTATTCTCTCACTCTTCTAAGAAACTGGTCATTTTAGTTTATTCCTCTTGATGAAGTAGTAGTGCTAAATTTGCCTTATTAAATTTAGTGAGGTTTTGGTATGTTTTATTCTTACCTGTAATGAATATTAATGTTCGTAAGTCAAGGGGAATCTGTTTGTCATCTTTCTGAAGTTGTGGTGTGGATAGAAACTGCAGTCCTGGCTCCTTCAGGCGAAGTTAATAGTGATGAGATGGAGGCATCGCGATAGAGTGACAGCAGACTCCAGAGTCACGCTTGGCTTTGTGATTGTTGCCAAAATTACTTGTTGACTTTCAGCCTGTTCCTTCATCTGTACAATTTGAATAAAAATACCTACCCGACCTCATATAAAATTCTTATGAGAAGCTATGATATAAGTGATCAGTAAATGTTAATTCTCCCCTCATTTATAAGTAAAATGACATATGCTCTTGGGACATTAATAGATAGAGGAGGATGAGTGATGAAACCAATAAAATGGTCTATAAATGCAAGCCTAAAAAGTTGCAGAATTGGAGCTCATCGAACTCATATTCAGTTAGATTACATGCCTTACAACAGAGCTTCTGTCTCGTTTGTGTTACATTCAACATGTAACCTTTTAATTGAGATAGCTGAACAGAAGACTGGCAAAGAGAGTGGACCTGTGTAATATGGCAGAGTAAAATATCTATACTTAGATATTTTTCTTATTTGGAATCTTCATCTGTAACCTCTGATTTTGAAAATTAATTATTGGAACAACATCTTGCAGAGCCTCCTTTATGGCATGCTGAATTTACCAAAGAAGAATTGGTTCAAAAGCTCAGTTCCACTACAAAAAGTGCTGACCACTTAAATGGACTGCTTCGGGAAACAGAAGCAACCAATGCGGTCCTTATGGAGCAAATTAAGGTGAGGTCAAAAAACCGCTACCAAGAAAATACCCTGCACCAATTTGGTTTTCTTGACCCTCTACAGACACACACACACACGCACACACACACGCACACACACACACACACACACCCCTAAGTTTAAAAATTCTCATATCAGGCACATCCATAACGTCTTGATTCTTTATGACATTAGATTCCTGAAATTGAGAAATGTTAATTGCTTTTATGTCTGTTATGTAAAGACTATTTTCATTCCTACTTTTTCTAAGAAACCATAATAGATTTAGAAATTAGACAGATATTCACAAGTCATTGTTCTACATATGCTTAAATAAAACTTAAATAAATATGGGTCCTTAAATTCTAAACATAAACCATGGGGCACTTCTCATTCAAATCATTCAGCTGATATTTATGGCCCTAAACTGCTTGTCACAGATTGTGGGTGGAGATGGCAGAGTATCATAGCAAGTTTTTCCTATTTATTTTGTGTGTATGTGAGGAAGATCAGTCCTGAGCTAACATCCATGCCAATCCTCCTCTTTTTGCTGAGAAAGACTGGCCCTGGGCTAACATCCGTGCCCATCTTCCTCTACTTTATGTGGGATGCCGCCACAGCATGGCCTGACAAGCAGTGCATCAGTGTGCGCCCAGGATCCAAACCCCAGGCCACCAGCAGCAGAGCGCACGCACTTAACCCCTACACCATGGGGCCGGCCCCAGTTTTTCCTATTTCAAGTCAGCACTAGAAACGTGTAGGAAAAAGGTAGATTGTGGAGCAGTTGAGGATTTTACAAGTGAAATATTTCCATTCTGGCTGGCTGATGAGTCACTTCTCCAAATGTAGTTGTACTACTTACTGAGCAGTTCTCATGAGCCAGGCCCCGGGCTTTACATGTATTATCATAATTAATCCTCGTAATCACTGGAGGAGAGAACAATTGAAGCTGATAAATGGTGGAGCAAAATTCAAGCTCTTGTCTGTCTGAAAAACTGTGCCATGCCTCCCCAAGTAGATTGTCCTACCTCTGTGCAGGGGCACCAGCTGTTCTTGTCAAATTAATTTTTTTAATGCTGAGTTACTCAGTTATTTACAGTAAATTGTATATGTCATGATATCCCACCTCTAAATATTTTAGTAAACATCTCTATAAAATAGCATTTTCCCACATAGTCAAAACGTTATCACATCTAACAAATCACCAATTAGCCCAGTAAACCTAAGTGACCATACAAATGTTATATTTCCACAAGTTTACATTCTCACATGATTTCTTAGACCTTATTGTCACTTTTTTAAATGACCCTAGGTTTTAGGACAGAGCTGGCTAACTTTCCTGGACTAAACCTAAAATGATAAAACATAACAATATTTTTTTGTTGTTTCAACCCAGAAATCTTCCTCAAAGACTAACATCCTGCCATCTTTTTCATATCATCTTTTCCCTATTTTTCTGGTAGTATTTTAGATTGTCTTACATTCCTGAATTTTCACTCTATCCTGGACTCGACTTTTCTTTTGGTTAAGTGCTGTTCATCATGTAAACATAATTTCACTGTAGACAACTTAAGGGCCTGGGGTTCTGGGCTCAAGCCAGGGAAGGGGATTAGTGGTGGATGTGTAAGTTTCCTTCAGCCCCTGCTTTCAAACTCTGGCTTGCCGTGCTCACAGTGTGTCTTGTCCCAGAGCCCTGAGCCCACTGGTTCATTTTCTGTGGAGAGTAGAAGGTGGAGCATCATGGTATTAACCTGTGTAGACTTCACATCAGTCCTCATTTTCAGCCCCGGTTTCCATGCTACTCTGTACTTCTGAGGCTGAGGCTTCTTGGTGTTTCTGTGGGAAACTTGGGAAGCTGCTGGACTGAGTCACTTTCACTTCCCATCTTCTGGGAATTTCTTGATAGTTCTCATCTACTTTTTTCTCCTTTCCTAGTCTCTCCTTTATTGTCATTTTTGGGGCATTTCAGGGATAAGAGAAGAAAAATGCATGTGTTCAGTCTGCCTTGTTTAAACAAAAGCTCCTAAAACCCATTTTCAACTCATTACTCTAACATCAGCTTCTCAAAAGTGAAATAAGAAGATTGGAAAGAAATCAGGAACGAGAGAAGTCTGTAGCCAACCTGGAGTACTTGAAGAATGTCCTGCTACAGTTCATTTTCCTGAAACCAGGTAGTGAAAGAGAGAGGCTCCTTCCTGTTATAGACACAATGTTGCAGCTCAGCCCTGAAGAAAAGGGAAAACTTGCTGCAATTGCACAAGGTGGGTGAAGGAAAGTCTTACAGCTTTTGTTTTATAGCTTACATTAAATGTTGGCCTTGTGGCTGAGACTTTGTGTGTGCTTACAATCTTTTTCATGACACTGTGACTTTATAACTTTAAAACTTTGTTCATTTGGAAGAGTTCTATCATATGTGTAATTCGTGACTAGATTTGAAAAGCTGACTTTTTAACATTCTCAGGCAACTCCAGTGCATTTATATAATTTTAACATGCAGCAAAATACAATACAGTGTTTAGTTTGATCTTCCAGTTCTTTGGAAATTGGATTTGTAATCCTAGCGTTGAATTCTATCAAAGAATGTTGGTTTTTTTAATATCATACTTTTTTAACATGTGTTGGCTTGTTCTCTCCTTCTTCTCTCCTCTTCATCTCTTCCACCCCCAAATAGTCTAGAGACAACAGAGTCATATGGCTTAACACTTGGTCCGTATCATATCCAGCAGTCTATTTTTCCAGGCATCCGCAGCTTTGAAGCTGTACTGTATTTGGAGCTTAGATTTTCATGTCAAATAGATTTAATGCTATGATTTCATAAACTCCTTTAAAGTGTTTCACATACAGCTGCTGTAGTATCTTGATTCAAACTGCATCTTAAGAATCATGGTTTCATTTTTGTTTTAGTTTTAAAACATTTTTAAGCATACAGAGAGAATACTGTAATGTCCCTTGTGGCTGTCACCCATCTTTAACAATTTTCAACTCATAGTCGGTCTTCTTTTGGCAGGAGTAGAGATTTTAAAGCAAATTTCACACATGATATGATTTCCCCAGTTAATACTTCAGTGTGTATTGGACTCCTCTGTCATCTATCCCCAGCTCCTGTTCAGTGTTCCTGGGTTATCACAAGTGTCTTTTTACAGTATCCCAGATAGGACACACACATTGCGTTTGGTTGATGTTCCTTAAGCTTTGTTTTGTTTTGTTGTCTATAGCAATTCCATGTTCCTTCTTGTAATGTGTCATTTATTAGTTAAGGAAACTAGTCATTTGTGCTGTAAAAGTCATATTCTGGATCTGGCCCTTCAAGACCTTTAACTTGTTCCAATATTGCCTGTAACTAGGATGTGAGATGTCTGATTAGATCCAGGTGCAGTTGGGTGGGATGGAAGACAGAAATCCCTTACAGGTAGTGTTGTGTACTTTCTAAGACGTCATATCAGTAGGTCCCAAATGTCTGGTTGTCCCACTTCTGATTGATTTAGCTCATCACATTGGTGTTCTTTAACATAATCCTCTGTCCCCTATAAATACGAACTAAACTGATAGATTTAGAGAGTGATCCTCAAAGTTGAGCGGATATTGAATCATCTAGCACAATTATTAAAACTGAAATTGCTGGACCTTACCCCACTTTCTGATTCACTAGATTTAGGGTAGGACCCAAGAGTTTGCATTTTTAACAAGTTCCCAGGTGATGCTAATGCTCTGAGGACCTGCTCTGGCAACCATGCCTTGAGAATCCCTGATCTAGAGAACTGATATAAGTCACGTTTAATTTTTTTTTTTTTTTTTTTTGCAGGAATACTTCATAAGTAGTACTGGTAGTTTCTTTGAATCTGTTTTCTACAATACATCTTTCCAATGATGAGGGAGAAATGTTCTTAACACTGATAGTAATCTCAGTTCTGCTAATTGTAGAGTACATTACCTTAGCCACAATAGCATTTTTGTCACAAGATCAAAAATAATACATCATGTACATTTTTAGTAAAATAGTTATCCTAAATTATCAGTTTGCTTTTATATATTACTTATTTATTCTACCAAAGGTAAAACTATTTTTTTCATTGTAAGATTAACCAAGACTTTAGGAAAGATATATGTATTTTTAAATTAAAACATAATTGTCAAGTTGAACAATGATATGATCTCAAAATATTGAGCACATCTAATAGTCCTCTTGTAAAAGCCCAGCATGTTTAATGTAATGTAGATGTTACTAAACTCAAGTGACTCCTGTAAGTTGAAGGTCCATTGATTAAAAGATCTCAAAGAGACTACTCTAAGGGTCCCAATGACACAGAGATCATTGGTCATTCCACACAGGATATATATAGAAGTTCATTAGAAACCCAGAACTCTGACATGCTTTTGCTAAGTCCTGTAAACATGTAGAAAATCCCCACTTATTAAACTTAAACTAGTTTACTTTTCTTTTCTTTTTTTTTTTTTTTTTTTTGCTGAGGAAGATTCGCCCTGAGCTAACATCTGTGCCAGTCTTCCTCTATTTTGTATGTGGTTCACCACCACAGCATGGCCACTGACTAGTGGTATAGGTCCACGCCCGGGAACCGAACCCAGGCTGCCGAAGCGGAATGTGCTGAACTTAACCACTAGGCCACAGGGCTGGCCCCCCTAGTTTACCTTTTAAATGTTATTCACTTCTAATCTCAAATCTGTGTAAGCAAATAAAAGAAAACTTATAAAAATTAAATTAAAAACAGTTACGGTCTGGCAGCAGATCTAGATGTGGCTTAAGAGAGAATGGAAAATAGGTCAGAAGGAATTAGAGAAATTCAGAGTTCAGCGTGGAATAACAAAAAAATGAAAAAAACAGAAGAGTGGGTAGTAGACCTGGAAGATAGAATGAAGACTTTTAACATATATTTAATAATTAAAGTTCCGGAGAGGAGAGAAAAAAATGAGGTAGAGACAATATTTGAAGAGAATGGCTGAAAATTTTCCAGAACTGCTGAAAGATATCCACCCACAGATTTGAAAATCTCAATAAAATTTCAAGTAGGATAAATAAAAGGAAGTCTACCTCTATTCACACAAAAGTGAAACTGCCCCCAAAAGAGGATGGAGAAAAATCTCAAAAGCAACCAGAGAAAGAACACACATCACCCCATTACCTTTAAAGGAATAACAGATGGGCTCACAATGGACTTCTCAGCAGCATTGGTGGAATACTGTCTTTAATGTGCTGTAAGAAATAACTGCCCACCTTGTAAAATTATTTTTCAAGATCTTTTCTGATAAACAGAAACTTAAAGAATTTGCCTCCATTGGAAATTCTCAACAATGTACTTCATGTCTAAGGAAAGTTTTCTAGGTGGAAGATCGGAGATGCAAGAAGGAATGTCATGCAGAGGAAACTTGTCGCCATACTATAGATATGGGTCCTGGGCCACACCAGGGACATTTCTTTACCAAGGCCCTGAAGATAATAACCGACATTCCACATGTGTGGGGTGCCAGAAGAGAGGATCTAAGAGCAACTTTTCCTGACACTGAAAGGAATAGGACCATAACAACAAAGAACAAAATACCTCTTGCCTCCTTCATCTTCTCTGAAGCAATGTTTGTGATCTCTGATTTTGTGTAGTTTATAACAGCATTTTTTTATGCAGGTTGCTAACCATTAGTGGATAGTGAAATTAATTTGGTGGATCACATCCAGAATTTTTGTGTGTGTGTGTGTGTGTGAGGAAGATCAGCCCTGAGCTAACATCCATGCCAATCCTCCTCTTTTTGCTGAGGAAGACTGGCCCTGAGCTAACATCCGTGCCCATCTTCCTCCACTTTATGTGGGATGCCGCCACAGCATGGCCTGACAAGCGGTGTGTTGGTGTGCTCCCAGGATCCGAACCCCAGGCCGCCACCAGCGGACGGCGTGCACTTAACTGCTACGCCATGGGGCCAGCCCCCAGAATATTTTTTAAAAATAGAATAAGGCAAACAAACATCAGCATACATTGAATCTAGTAAGGGTAAGAATTGTTTCTTGGAACTGTCTAGGTATGTGTGGATGTTGGTATCTGTCTGACTGTATCAGCTCCTGATTTCTCTCTCTGAGTGTGTGTCACAAATATTTGAGAAACATTAGCTTAGGCAATAAAGTAGGTTATCCAGCTCTGACACATGACCTCAAACTCCTTATAATAAACACCCATTAAAGACACAACTTGCACCCCAAGGAAAGTGTCATGAGCTGCTCAGAGCTGCCTGTTGCGTCTCTGTGTAAGGTAAAACAACATAAAGTGCCACATTAATCCCCAAACAAGTAACATGAAGAAGACACTGCTAAGAAGTGTAGATTGTTGCTCTGCTTCAGTGTAAATGTTAACTCACCCTGCTCCCTGCATATCAGATCCCAGCACAGTTCACAGATTGCATATTTCTTTTCTACTTGAGATACAACTTGTGATGTCAGCTTTGCTCCCCAAATAGGTTAGTCATGTAATATCTCTCTATGCAAAATTGGGATCTTAACTTTGCTGCTCAAGCAAGAGCTGAAAGTTGCTTCTCTACACCTTTACTCCCCAACTCAGTTATAATTTACAAAGCTCTATGTTGTTACTTGGTATACAGCATATACCCAGGTCTGATACTCTTTAGAAGTAAGTAAAGAGGAAGAAGGCCAAGAACTCAATTGGAAAAAAGGCTAAGACTATCATAAGCTTTTTTGATCATCTCCAGGCTGGCAGGAAGAGAATGCACACTCACTGACTCACTGTAAGTGCCTGATTTGATTTGCAGAGGATATAGAACGTTATCAGAAGAGAACAATTGGTCAGGGCAGGAGCAAATGCACCCTTTCTCAGCAGGGCTTTTCTCTGGTCCCTGTTTACCTAAGGAAATGAAAAGCTACCAGGAATTTTGTCTGCACAGGCTGGGGTCCTGCCATCTGAGAACAGAGCTGCATTTTTATTGTGTTCTAAGACTTAGAGTATACCATTCATTCCAGATGAGCATACAACGTCTCTGCATTTTCATTTAGGGAAATGTTTACAGTCACCCGGCTCTCATTATTCTTGGGAGCAAGGCTACCTTCTCTGATGGGAGAAAGCAGAATCAGTGCCAGTTGTGCATTCCTTAAGAATATCACTTCCTCCAGCTTTCTAGAAGCTCATCTCCATGCAGATTGTGGAAGACAGACTTGTAAAAACCCTCCTGCCCCCATGATTCCCTCCTCTAGGCATTCATGCCTTTTTGTAATTCTTTCCCCCTTGAATGGCCAGTAGGCTGGCCTGGTGACTTGTTTCTAACCAGCAGAATACAGCAAACGTGATGGGATGTCACTTCCATGATTAGGTTACAAGAGATTGGGACTTCTGTCTTGCCAGCAGACTCTCTCTGCCTTCTTCATTTGCACACTTTGGTGAAGCAAGCCTCCATGTTGGAGAGGCCCACATGGCAAGGACCTGAGGCCATCAGTCCAGCAGCTCTTGAGGAACTGAATTCTGCTGTTTACCACATGAGTTTGAAAGTGGATCCTTCTCCAGTTGATCCTTCAGATGAGACATCATCCCTGGCCGACACCTTGATTGCAGCCTTGTGAGAGACTCTGAGAGACCCAGCTAAGCCCTTCCTGGTCTCCTGACACACAGAAACTGTGAGCTAATAAATGTGTGCTGTTTTAAGCTAATAAGTCTGTGGTGATTTGTGATGTAGCAGTTTGTAACTAGTACATGGATAAACTAGACAATGAACAGAAAAAGAAAAGAAAATGCCTTGTAAACTATAGAATTTCTCCATTTAAAATTTTGAAAATACTTTGCACAAGATCCGACTGTTGTACATACATATATCTGAAAACACAGAAAGGTGTCTGGAAGGGTATATACTAAATTTAGTAATGGTTGCTTCTGGGGAAGGGAGGAGTGAGGGAAAGGACATATAATGAAAAGAGATGTTCACTTTTTTTTAAGGTTGTAAAAGTTTGAAATCGTGTGTATTAATATACAAATCATATTAAGGAGAATACAATAAAGGAGACCTTTTCTGAAATTTTCTTGGAAGCCCAGAATTTTTCTGAACTTAAGACAGCATTTATTTGCATTGATCATAAAAAATAGAAACTGGAACACTCAATATAAACTGATACAACCACCTTGGAAAAGTTTGGCATTTTTTATAATGTTAAACATATATTCACTGTAATGACAGTCCCACTCCCAAGATATTTTTATCCAAGAGAAATGAAAACATACATTCACACAAAAAACTGCACAAACCTCCTGAACATACTAAAAACCACTGAATCATACATTTTAAAAGGGTGAATTTTATGGTATGTGAATCACTTCTCAATAAAATTTTTTTAATTAAAAACCTATGCACAAATGTTTATAGCAGCTTTATTTTAAATTGCTAACAACTGGAAACAACTCAGATGTCCTTCACTGGGCAATGAAGAAACAAACTGGAGCAGCCACACAGGGAAGACCACTCAGCAGTGAAAAGGAAGGAGCTGGTGGTCTGCACGGCAGCACCGGTGGTTCTCAGGCACGCGGTGCTTGGTGAAGGAAGCCAGACTTGAAAGGCTGTATACGATGTGATTCTGTTCATGTGACTTTCTGGAAAAGGCAAAGCTATGAGAGCAGAAAACGGATGAGTGGTTGCAAAGAAGTGGGGAAAGGGCTGGCTTAAAAAGGGCCTGAGAGCTTTGAGGTGTGGAAGTGCTCATACTACACCTAAAAAGGATGAATTTTATTGTAAGTAAATTAGACGTCAGTAAACCTGATTTTTAAATGATTAAACTGTTGTTTTGGGTTTGTTTAGTTTTGAGGTTTACCATAAATCTATTGGTTTTAGATTCTAAGTTGTCATATAAAGGCTTATGTTTTAAAAGAATGTAAAAAATTCCCCTTATTGTCAGAAATACTTAGTTGTGCCGGGGAGTTTATTTTGGAATTGTCTGATAGAGAAAGACAAATACTGAAAGTTCAAGAGTGGATTCATAACGTCAAAGTATGGTGTAAGAAGATTAACTTTTTTTTTTTTTTTTAATCTCCCCAAAGGTGAGGAAGAAAATGCTTCCCGTTCCTCCGGATGGGCATCCTATCTGCATAGTTGGTCTGGACTTCGATAGATTGGTGGAAAAAACATTATTTATTAACCAAATAGAATCCATTTGGCAAAAAAGGCTCACATATATTGCTGTCATTGTTTTGTCAGAAAGTGTGTGTATATATTCACATCTACATGTATTTGTACAATACCCGTGTCAGATAGATTTTAAAAGTCTCAGGATGAAGGACACGTACAACAGCCTGAGGTCTTGGTATCAGCCCCCGGCACTTGACTCTGGGCTCTCCAGGCTGCTGCAGGTGAAACACCAAGAATGAGTTCACTCCTTCTTCTCTGGAGTCTCAGCACCCGCCTGTTTCTGGGCAATACTGTGAATTTTCAAGTTAAACTAAATTTTGGGACCCTACCAACTGGAATTTAGGCTTTTAAAATAATGTCACAAGACTGTTTATTGCAGGGTTAGACTTGCAGATAGATTTTTAATAGTTATAAATTGTTAAAGAAAATTTGTTAATGAGAATATGAAGGAAAATGCTTTATTGGTAAAGTTGGCATGTTTATTAAGGGACTATAAAGTAAATATGTTGCAGTTATAAGTTAAAATACAATTTATTTAGTTATTTACTTTAAAATGAACTGTTCTTTTTTTCCCTAAAGTATATTATCTCAAAACTCATTATGTTGTCAGAAGCCCTAGTACTTGCTGGTATAACACTGAATATGAGTAGGCCCCACATTCCCTTGGGGTGACTTCATGGTGTCTCTCCAAGCTCATTATGGATCAACTACTTCTAAGCTATGAGTCTGTTTTGAGAATTCTCTCCATCTCCCCAAATAAAAATTTATCAGAACCTTGACTATATTACTCAGCATTATATCTAGGTACGAAACTGGTGCTTTCATGTTTCAGCAGATAATGTCATTCCATACGCTTCCGTCAGAGGGGATCTTAGAAAGACACCCGAAAGCGCAGAGCTACATTCTCACAGTCATTGAGAGTACCTCGCGGTGGTGGCATTGCCTTTGATGCCTCTGAATATATTTTATTGACTAGATCAAAATTGTGTTCTTAAATCATAAATTTGAGAGTTCTATTTTTAATATTTGTTTGTTAGAAGATTGCTGCACAGTATGTTCTATGAATTTCTCTTAAGCCTTCTAATTTATATTCTAATTTTAAGTCTCAGCTGGTGAACTGACTTTGTACTTTGGTTACTCAGAACATTGGTTTCCAATTTAATTTCACTGAAATTTGCTGCTGACATGTTGAGTTTGTTCTTTAAAAAATCTCATATATCTGTCTTTTCTCCTGTTTTAGAAGAACAGACCTAACTAGTGAATGTATTAATGAAAATGCATCTATTTCAGAGCTGACTTTAAAAGATTAGTTTTCACTTTATAAACTGTGAAGATGAGCATGCCAGCAGCATACAGTGTACCTGTAATAGTCTTTAAATAAATTTCATTTTCTCAAGTCCAAGCCTTTTTGAAGTCTATGTAAACTTGTTTTGAAATATAGTCTCTACTTATGAATGTAATAACAAAAATGCCTTTTTGCATGATAAATTATTACTTTGATTGCAAAAGGAATATTCTTTCATGGTTTCAGCAATGAGAGGAAATGTAATAATTTTAATATTTCTATTAAATTTGTTTAACTGTATATTGTTATGCCTAGTCATTTTATGTTAGACACTGTCTCTTTGGGGTTTTAAATTAGTTCATGAATTGGAATTGCAAATTACTACTGTCTTTAGACGTTCAAGACCTAGAATATCAGGTGCTTGAGAGAACGTAACTTGACCTTTTGGTATGCGATGGCGTAGACTGTGGTACCCACTGTTCCTCACATCTGCCTTCTAACTGAAGCTGGAAGCCACGCTCAGCCTTCCTTTGGGCACTGCTCAGGTTCCAGCCTCCTCTGAGATGGATGGCATCTCTTGTGTACAATGAGCTTTAGTTATGCTTCAAGTGGGGTAAGATGGAGAATTATATTCCGATGAACAGATTTTGGCAGAAGTGTAACAACTATTTACCAGCAAAGCCAAGGCTTGCTAAAGGCATACAGTGCTTTGTGTTCTTTTTAAACCACTTGTTAGCTGATGTGTAGCTGGAGATAAATAGTAATGAGGAGGGTGAAGTTTCCCATAAAGACACGGTTTTGGTATTTGGTGAATGGCACAGTGCACAAAAAGTACTCATACCATATGATTAAATCAGAATGTAGTGGTCACAACCTGTCTCAAGACTCTTCTATTTTGCTTTGGTATCTGAAAATCAGCTATTGCTTCAAGATAAACACCAAGGGAAACCTGATACAAGTTTGCAGATCTCTTTGAGCTGATTTTCACCCATGAGTGTTAAAAACCATTTGGTTATTTATGTATAAGTTAATAATTAGAAGGAAAATCTTTTTCACCTGCATTCAAAATGTGATTACGTGAGAAAAAATCAAGTTGTGACCTTCAAATTGTTACTTTTAAAAAGTAGATACAGGGTCAGAAGTCAAAATGGCGGCGTAAGCAGACTCTGAACTCACCTCCTCCCGCAGACACAGCCAATTTACAACTACTCGTGGAAAAATTACCCCTGACACAGTACTGAAAACTGGATAAGAGGAACTCCTGCAACAAAGGACAAGCCTAGTTGAGGTGGAAGAGGCAGAAACTGCCTTCTGGATAGAAAAACCACCACCTTCACAAGCCGCAGCACCTCACGGCTGCCCGGGAGCAGCCCAAAGGTACGCAGCCCTCCCTGGAGGAGCGGGGCCCTGAGCTGGGCAGTGCCCCCGCTGTGGGCATTTTGTGGACCCAGCACAATCGAGACAAGTGGCATAATATGTGCCTTTGCCTGCTACTGAAACATTGGGGAGTGCACCCAGAAAAGCTAGTTCACAAAGAAATTAAAACTGGCTCTTAAAGGGCCCACACGCAAACTCACCCGTTTCAGAAAGCAAACTAAAATCACCAGAAAGAAAGGTGCACAGTGCTTTGGTGAAAAGAGATTCAGCTTATAGGCCCTGAGTGCATCTTGCTGAGAGGTTAGACCACTCCAGGGACTGGGACATTGGCGGCAGCCATTGTTGTGGCCTGGTGTGGGCATGCTGACACAGACGCCGTTGGAGTTCTCCCTGGGGCCTGCTAGCCCAGGTCTGTCCCACCCACTAGAGCACTGATTTAATCCAGCTCACCCAGGGCAGGCAGCCCTCCCTAGGGACTGGCCCCAGCCAACAACAAGCGCTCGGGCAATGTGTGGGCCTGCATAGATTGGTGACTGGATTCTCTGAAGCCTGGCAACTGAGCCGACTTCAGTGGGGCAGGGCGTGCACAAGGAGTGGGTGAAGAGTGTGGGGTGGTGGTGGAGTGTGTGGGGCTCCCGCTGCGGAGAGACTGGGTCCACTTCAGGCGGTCGGGGAACGCACACGGGGCAGGACTGCGTTGACTGTGTCTGTGGACCTGTGGGTGGCAGGGCTTGTCAGCTGCAGAAGACTTGTGTTCTCAAAGACCCACATAGGGGATTTGCCCCACCTTGCAAAGCCTGAAACAATTGAGTGCTCCCGTGCCTGAGGGCAGCCCCACCCAGTGGCATTCCTCAGAGAGCTGACAAGAGACCTAAAGCCTGGAGGCTTATAGCAATTGTAAGGCCCTGAGCCTAACAACCTGCCACACTGGGGGCCTACTCACTTAAAAGAAATACTGCAACACAAATGTGGTATTAGAACTTGCAGCCAACAGTACTGGGGCTCCCCAGACCTGATAAAGAGACTGAAGGGCCCACAACAACTACAAGCAGCTGAGCATTGCAACGGGTGGCCAGGAGCATAACTCGGACACCCTGGGTGCCTACAGGGAGAGCAAACGGGCCACAACAAAAGGAAACACGTAGGCCACATGGGGGTCACGCCTGGAACATTGAGAACTTAGGGAAGAACACTGCAGGCCTCCTAAGGCATCACTTATATAAGGTCGCCTATCCAAGAGCAGGAGAC